TGGCGTAGCATCACGTATGTGTGGAAGTTGCAGAAGAACGGGCAGTGGCGTAGCATCACGTATGTGTGTAAGTGCCAATGAACGTTATTGCCCCACCCCACCCCACCCCACCCCAGCGTAGCATCACGTATGTGTGGAAGTTGCAGAAGAACGTGCAGTGGCGTAGCATCACGTATGTGTGGAAGTTTCAGAAGAACGTGCAGTGGCGTAGCATCACGTATGTGTGGAAGTTGCAGAAGAACGTGCAGTGGCGTAGCATCACGTATGTGTGTAAGTGCCAATGAACGTTATTGCCCCACCCCACCCCACCCCACCCCAGCGTAGCATCACGTATGTGTGGAAGTTGCAGAAGAACGTGCAGTGGCGTAGCATCACGTATGTGTGGAAGTTTCAGAAGAACGTGCAGTGGCGTAGCATCACGTATGTGTGGAAGTTTCAGAAGAACGTGCAGTGGCGTAGCATCACGTATGTGTGTAAGTGGCAATGAACGTTATTGCCCCACCCCACCCCACCCCATCAAAATCTATGCGTTTTGCTGGACGGTAAAAAGTCCGTCAGCATAAAATAAACATGTTGCGGTGTTCGGCGGTGTTGTTTGTTTTTACATGTTTGTATCATATCCGACAAGAAATTTGTCAGCTACAGAAGATGCATCACTGTAGGAATCACTGACAAAATGATTGAACGTCTGAATTGGCCGCTGAAAGAACGCATGAATGAACACCGAAACAGGGACCAACTGAGTGAGCCTCCTTTTCTCTGCGTCGCTTCGGTGCTTCGGTGAAGCAACTCTCTGCACTTCTGAGCTACCTCTGGGCCAGTTCTTCCCTGAGCATCGCTAAGCTACGCAGCTACTTCTTCTTTGCGCCTCTTCTGTGATCTTTGCTGACGCCCTCTGAGCTACTTCTCTGGTCCTCCTCTTCTCTGAGCTACTTCTCTGAGCCAAATTGTTACTTCTCTGAGCCACGTTGTCTCTGAGTTACTACTTCTTCGGTGAGTCAAGCGAATGATTGGTCGAAATGTTCATTCAAGCAAAACGAAACCATAAATTGAATGTCTGAATCATAAATGAGTTATGATTGAATGAAGCAATGAACGAGTGAAGGCATGAACGACAAACAAAAATCCCTAAGATAAATGGACTACTTCTGCTTTGAGCAGATGTCGCAACCCGGAAGTTTGTCATCTAAATTTCATACAATTTCAGAGTAGATTGTTCCCTTGACATTTTTTTTCATCATAGCTGCCCAGTACAATCGCATTGCTACCCCTTTGTTTTCACAGGTCGTTCACACTTCTCCGGCCCATTGTCATTCCCCTAATCCCCCTATTAAAAAAAAACTCGAGGATTTCCACATAAGTGAGACCATAGAATGGGGGTATTTATGGGTGTTTAATGTTGGGGGATGGGAGTACACCGATCTGCTCATCGAGTTTCGCCCAGGTGTCCCAGCGAAGTTTGTGCGTGACGTGCGGCGACGCATCACTGAAGATTTGTTCCATCGTGCGCTCAGTAGTCGACTGCTGCGGCTGACCTTACAGGGACCCTTGGAAGGCCGGGAAATGGAACAGTGATGAATACTGAATCCAAACTGAGCAACAATCTGAACAATCTTGGACAAGACCTTGGATTCAACATGAAGGTGGCGATGTTTGTTCAATGAAGATGTAAAGTGAAATCAACATGATTTAAGGTCACTGGTTCTTTAGTGAACATTTGTGAGCACAGCAAAAACGTATTCGACTTGTAGGGTGTGTAATGTATGCCTAGAGCGAATTCAACACAAAGGTTAGATATTTAGAATTGTTTACATATGTTCAGGTGGTATTCGTTGGTTCGATAATTGGAGAAATCATTTACATGGACACCAATAGATTGATGGGTCATGACACTGCACTATCTATGGGGAGATGTTTAAATATACAGGCTTATACCCGTTGTCAATTGTGGTGCATCCGTCTTCGAAAACAAATGCAAATGATACTCACATTCCTGATTGTACGTAGAATCCTTTCTCCCTAAAACTAAATGGCGATCGATCAAAACCTATTATGCCATATTTGGGGGGATGAACATCCATTTACCAGCTAATTATTTTGATGTTCTCAAAGGTACCAGATGGTACCACGGTTTTGACCCACACCCAAATATCTCCCAGAAATCCTTAGAACCCCGTGTTTACTCTTGGATCTATCCATTTTGGAGGGTCCGTACAGCGGTTGATCATGAGTTTCCCTCTTTTGAATGCCAATTTTATTCGGGAAGTATATCCCCTTTAGACACTCACCCAAAATATATTATATACGATTATATACGGTATATACATATATATAGAGAGAGAGTATTCATCGCCAAAAAGATTGAAAAATAAATCCCTACTAATTTGGTGATGACTTGCTTTTCCATCTTGGGGACCATATATTTATATATATATAGAGAGAGAGATAGTATATATATATATGATTATGTACCCATTGGTAATAGATGATTTTCCCATTGTAGATGATTTCCCAGCTATAAACCTCCATTTATAGCTGATTGCCAGAAGGAGTGTATGAATATATATATACATACAGATCATATAATGTTCCATCCGTAAGTGGGACTAAATATCCATAACTTTATATAAATACACTTTCCACCACTGCAGGTGGAGCACGGGATTTTTTCTCTGCAGGGACTGACACTTCAGATCCCTTGCCCGCCTTGACGCTTGGCCAAGTGCCTCGGGGATGTTGGGATGATTCAGTGAATGGATAAATTTGAATGGTGGTATACCGTAACAATACATAATCCATAATATATATATGATTATATATATATGTGACTTAGTGATATGAATTCAACATCTGGAGGATATTTGAATATATATATATATATATACACATATAACTCTGAATTAGTGATAAAGATCCAACTTCCGGAAGAGATGTTTCAATTTCATCGTTTTGGCGATTCTTTCCAATTGAGAGAACCGGCTTCGACATGAATACTGTATGCTCCAGGATGGGTGCAGGCTGTACAGTGGTATGTGCCTATGGCTTCACTAGGATCCTTGCTGTATCAACTTGATACCAGCTGGGGGCCATCAATGTCTCACCCATTTGATTTAGTTTGGCCGCATGCCGGCAATTGATTGTTTTTTTGATCCACAACGCAATTGAATACATTTGACATGTTCCACATGTGAAGCTTTATGTTTGATAGACATCTCGATCATTGTGGAGAAAGGTGTTTGCGGACGAATCCCTTCCCCCTATTGTAAATGTGAATTTCATTTCCAGAAACCCTGGGTCCCGGTCCACCCTGGCTCAATAGTGGATCTATTTCATTTTTGTTGCTCACATTGTCAGGGGATGGGATCACATTGTCCGCCCCCCCTGCATTTGATCTGGAGCAAACTGATGTCGTTTCTGGTATCCAAGGAGTCCTTTGAGCGCCAGTCTGGCACCACTTCCCGGGCGAGTACGACCGGCATTGAAGAGCATGTTGAGGTGCGGTGTGGGAGCTGATACTGTACCCTTTGTTTCACATCCCAAACATGCATGTTGATGGGATATTAATGGGATACTGATGGGGAAAAAAATGAAAATAGTGAGATATCACGAAGATTTATATCATTACCGAACAGTATGTGAATTGCAGGGATCCCCCAAGCCTTTCCAGGTACACGCTGGCAGGGGGGTAAGCAGAAACCTTATTGGCCAACAGGTGCAACCCGTAAATGATGGCTACGAATGGGAAAACGATCGAAGAATTATCCCATGATATCCCATGTATCTAACTTGATGCAATCTCCTAATTTGGGAATATGGATCCCAATAGAAATCGATCCCCGAATAGTTATTGGGAATATTGGGATCAATGTTTCCTAATATTGTTCTCACATAGATATCTAACTTGATGGTCGAATGGTGTTAAAGTAGATCTGGAGCTAACGGAAACTACACAAATGGGCACTCAACCGCCATCCAGTGAGTAAACCAGAAAACCTACCCTCTGAATAACCTCGTAATCTGACATGACCTAACATGGCTGGCTAGAAGATAAATCTATCACCGGAGGGTAATAATATACGATATGTTCTGGTTATATATATATAATTATATATATAGTGTATTTGTAGCAACATATTTTGCTGGGCACTTGTTCAGCCAATGAATTCAAACCCAACAATACTACTCTCTGGTAAGTGGGTTTAAGTCATTTCGCCATGGGTCAAAAATTCAAGCCACAAATGAAGCATTGAGAACAAATGCCAACAATGATAGGAAAACGTCTTCACACATGGGGATGGAGTGAAACAGAGTTGGACGAAAGACTGGCATTTCTTGTCATATGTTTTTGGAGTCTGGAGGAGCGTATACTTTTGCTAAACTGGTCATATTTAAGTTTAGGAATCTACAAAACGCCATCGTTTTTGTTTAGGAATCAGAACCACCATTAAAAAAGCCTCTGAAACTATCGGGTTTGGGTCAGCAGTTTCAATGCACTCATTTTGGGATCTATACCAACACTAATTTGGCTGCCATCATGCGTTTGGACTTGTCATGTTTTTTGGATCTAAAACCCTTCTATGTGTGGGACTTTGGGGGGCCTGCAACAATTTTGCTGGACTTGCGATTTTAAGGAGCACCCCCCATGCATTTTTTTGACCACACAAATTGAGCCATACACATGTAGATTTGTCAAGTACAGATGGTCCCACCTCGTATGATGTTTGATCATATTTGCTGAGAGGATGGAGTAGTTTATGCTAATAGATCGATAGAACAATCATTTTGTAAAGATGCATCTTTCGTGGCCCGTTGCCTCTAGAATTGGTATCCTAGTTGACTTTAGTTTTTTGAATGGGTGGTGACAAAAGCAGTCAGGTGTCCAGCAGAGTTTGGGCCCCATGAGCCATGAAACAAAGAGAGATCAGCTAGGCTCTTAGAGATGTACTTGGGCAGTGCCTCCAACAGCCGAAAAGTCAGAACAGCCTCCTCCAACAGCTCCGATGTTCGCCTGGCGTTTGCCCCGGCGCTTTTTTGGGTCGTCGCCATTGGGTTCTGGTGAAAGGTTGATCCTCGGCAGATCTCCCAGCCGAGATGAGCTGCTGAAGATCTTCCATACAGAACCCGTGAGCCGTCGAGGACCAAGGGAGCACCTTCATCAAAGGTAGGGATGAGAAAAACCACGAAACATCCATGAGAGTCTGACCATACCTGCTATCCAAAGGAGTTTGGGTCAATACTCAAGCTAAAACACTAAATTGCGTACAGCGTAGCATAATACATAGTTTACATGCGAACCAAGAAGAACTTATGTTGTTGAAATGTGAGCTACTTCGACAGTATGTTTGGGTGAGTGAATGACTCAGTGACTGACCCAGAGACAGGTTACAAAAGTTGGCAAATGCAAAGAGAGAAGACCTCATCCTGCCGGTGCTGAAACTTCTGTTGGAGCAAAAGGTCAAACTGGATCTTTAGATTCGTTGAAGATTCTTCTTACATAAGTTTTCAAATGGGTTATATAATCCACCTTTTATATCCTTTTTATGGGGAAACTATATCGGAATATTGTTAAAACCTACTTGCTGTATACATATTTTATGTCGGGTCATATTTGGGGCAAGCACATCCAACTTATCTTACCCCATGTTGCAGCTTAAATCCCAATTGTTTGGTTTCTCAAATCCCAAGGATCCCAGGGATTTTAGCGTTGGTATTTCGGGCTGTGCTAGAGCTGCCCTTTGGCAAGACGCCTCTGTACTCTTTGCGACTATGCATGCAGGAAAGGTGTATCCGAATGTCTCTCCGGTGGCTGCTTTCAGATGTATTTGTTTTGAGGTCGTCCGAGAAATACTCCTAAATTGCAAGTAGGAACATGTTGATAATCCGTGGGATTTTGGTGTAACCTACTCAAATTCTCTGCGGTTGGTGGTTTTGAAGATTGTTTTAAGTTGTTTAAGTTTATTATGTTTTCAGTGTAACCAATACATATAGAATCATATATATATATTGGTTTAAACAGCAAAACCTGGCTGGTGATTTCATGTTTGTTCTTTTCAAACAGAATCAACCGTATTAGGGATGATGATCCCAATTGACAACTATTGTATTGACATTCACATTGTTTGGATGGGCTGAAAGTATCAACTAGCTCTAGTTAGTGCTGTCGAATATGCTTCGTATTTCATTACTTCATTCCTGGAAGTGGGATGGTTTTCTTCCCATTCCTACACACCAGAAAAGGTCTTTGTGTATAACGCAACCATCAGTGCATACGAAAAAAGCGGGCATTGGCAACATGCGCTTCGCTTATTTCAACTGATGACCTTTACACAAGTCTTCCCCACTGTTGCCTAGCTTTAGTGCTGCAGGAGTTTTTTTTTTGCAAGTTGACTTAGTCCAGCAATTTTGGGTAATCCTAAATCGTTTATTATATAGTTATGTTTGGATATATATGTATATATATATATTTATACACTGCTACGACTATACAATACTTTTTGTGGAGGGTTTCAGCAATCACTTGGGGTATCCTCAGGATATGTTTTGTTTTAGTGGTTTGATTCTCGGAGGGACTGGGATTAGCAAGTCTTTAGTGAATGGCTACTGCAAAACTTCATGGAAACCCAAAAAGTACTTTGGAATTCAGGTAGAACCATGAGGAACCACTTGTGACTTGTGACATTGTGGTGAACGTTCAAGGTTGTGAGCTACAATTCGATGATCAGTGCTTGTGAAAAGGGCGGAGAGTGGGAGAGAGCTCTGATTTTCTTCCGGTCCGTTTGGATCGCGACGCTGTCTCCAACCTTAGTGACGTACAGCGCCACCATCAGCGCGCTCGAAAAATGTGGCTCGTTGGTGCTTTCAATGAAGGGGGAAATTACCCTGAAAAGGAAGGTTGTGATTCAATGAACATATATATATATATATACATACACATATAATATCTATTTTTGTCGACCCTAAGAAGGGTATGATCCCACTTGACTTCGCAATAATATTGTTGGATTGACAGAAAAGCACCACTCAGGTGGCTTTTGGCAGGGTGCACTATCTCTATTAGCACAGATGCTTGCTGGAAGAGTGACCCCTGATGTTACGAGTTACAATGCTTTGATCAGTGCGTGTGAAAAGGGCGGAGAATGGCAGAGGGCATTGCACTTGTTCCAGCTGTGTAGGTCGGAGCTACAACCCAATTTGGTCAGCTACAATGCGATGATTAGCGCATGCCAGAAGGGCTGGCAGTGGCAACAGGCAGATTTATCTCAAAATCCCAAATGGATCCAAATGGTGAATTTATCATTTGACGCTTTTTTTTTATGTTGTTTTCATGGGCAAATGACTTCAAAAACCAGAGGTGTTGTTCAACCCTCTGCCTTGAAGACAACTTGAGGCCTTGAAAATCTTCAACAGCATTCCAGAGGCAAAGCTTCGGCCCAATCTCGTGACCTACAGTGCTGTCATCAGTTCGCTGGAAAAAAGTCGTGCTTTGTGGCAACTAGCGCTGCATTTTTTCCAGCAATTGAAGGTCAGTTGGTCTCCAGACGTCATCAGTTACAACGCCAGCATCAGCTGTTGTGGAGCTGCAGGGGAGTGGCAGCCAGCCTTGAGTTTGCTCCGCAACATGGTGGATAGCAGCATCTCCCCTACAGTTGTCACTTATACATCAACTATTCACTCTTTCACAGCAACAGCTGAGTGGCAAAGAGCATTGGTCCTCTGGCAACAGATGCATCAAGCATCTCTTGCCTCAAATTTTACTGCGGTGTCATCTATGCTGGACGTTCTTGGCGGATCAACTTCCAAGTCAGCCGAGTCAGTGGCCACAGCGATGTTTGAAGCTGCTTTGAGAGCGAAGATCTTCGAAGATTTGGTTTCGGCAGGACAGAGGTGCTGCTTCATGTCCGGAAAATGCGTGAAGATCACAGACGAAAACAGGGGGATCATCGTCAATAGCGTCATTCATGAATGTACTTGATCCACAACCATATGCCATATAAACGTGTAAACATAATGTATAATTATACAGCATGCATCATATATATATATACATACATATATACATTGATACAAATATACAAATATATATATATACACATACATTGATATATATATATATATACACAGTTCTTTAAATATAGGATTAGATAGACAATGTTTCCTGCATTTTCCAAGTCACAACATTGACCCTTTTGTTCCAGGACCCCAGAAGTTGGACCTGCATGGATATTCCGTTGGGGCGAGTCAATTGGCAGTTCGTTGGTGGCTGCAGATGACGGTCGCACCCTACTTGGCATCTGAAAGGTGGAAGATTGGCCACGAAGGTGAGTGGACCTCCAGGAATTTGCCCATTACTCTGGTAACAGGTTTTGGGTCTTCTTTAGCGACATATTCTCCAAAGCTGCGGCCGGCCTTATTGGAATTGCTGCGTGGGATGGGGCTAGCGGCAGAGATGAATCGCTCCAATCCAGGGAGGATTGAGGTGAAGCTAAGGATCAGGGATTTGCCGCTGCTGCTGCGATGCTTCACGCTGCAAAATCCGCGCGCGGAAGGGGTTGGAAGATATGAAATCACCAGTGAAACCGCCCAATGTTTAATCATCAGTTCAACCACACCAACTTTGCTCAAAACACCCATGTGGCCTCGTCTGAAATTGTGGTACCCCCATCCAGTGGTTGATAATCATTATCATTCTTAAATTATAGCTATTGGTAGGTGAAATAGGGTGAAATATGGTGAAGTACTTCCTGTTATCAGTGATCCTTGAGGAAGGTCCGTGTTTCACCCGCCACTCTTCGCGGCTTCTTGGATGTGCATCCCAGGAATCGCAAGTGGTTTATATACAGCTATAAAACTGTGTGTATTATATACATACATACATACATACATACATACATACATACATAAATACATATATATATATATACATATATACATATATATACATATTATTATATATATATACACATACATATGCATATATATATATACATATATATATATACATCATATAATCCAGCTACAACCAAAAAATTCAATTGGAGTGTTTCATTTGGTTCTCCCAGTTAGGAAGTGGTTTATAGCACCAAACGACGCCTGGCTCCCGCTACCCGTTGTCCTCTTCCAGGGAGTTGGAACGCCTGCGACGCTTTGGCTTTCACGTGGCAGAGGTGCAGCGTGCCAAACGTGCCATGCTGGCAGAGTTCGAAGAGGATGATATGCAGCGGTTTGGATGGCTTGATGGGTAAAGATGGGGATGTAATATGGAAAACATATAATTGATATATTATTATTGTACTGGTAAATAGATATATATATATGTATTGGTATAGTAATATATACTACATATTTACAAATTTGGGAAGAATGGGAAATTACATGGGATATAATTGGATATCATCTGAACTAATGAATATTTACATGTATATATATATATATAGCCAACAATGTGATAATGCCAGATATGCAATGGAATATATAACGAAAAAGATGCCTTTTGCTCTTTGTTTTCAAATTGGTGCGTCTCCGATTGGAAACACACACACGTATCTTTTGCACAGTGGGGGACATGATGATCCAACGGCACCTGCGGTAGGATTATATCGAGCGTGAGCAACGACCCTCGGAAAGCTTCGCGGAAGAATTCACGGCACTGTTTTTGGATGAGGACGCGGATCCAGCATCTATCTAGATGTACTCAAAGGATCTTACTACAAGGTCACTTCAAGTCCTGGCAGTTCAGGTAGATCAGTACAATGAATTATCCAGGTCGAGAGGGTTTACTCATTTTCCTTTAGATGGCATGGTGAACGGATGAGCCATGGTGAACCGAAAAAAGCACTGTTTAAGTGTTCTACACGGACATGCCTCAGAGGTAAATCTTGCATCCCTAAAGTGCCCGGTTTGATGCTAAAAAGATACACTTCCGGGGGTCACTAGGTATCCTCTGAGCTGCAGCAACATTACACTGTTGGCGCGTTGAAATTTGTGTGACCCAATTCAATTCAGACATATTTAGAGGCAATTGAGCGCATCCTTCCCATTGCAAGGAGTTCTAGTAGGGTACCCCTTTTATGAGAATCAGCATAATCAGGGAACTAAGCAGTTTGTCTAGAAAACCCAACAGCAGAATTCTCAATAGAAACTGAAGGGTGCCTCCCCAAACCAACCCCCCAATAATAGCGGTGTAAATTGAACCTGTTTGATATTGTGTTTGGGGACAGGGTATCTTTAGATTGACGGGTGGGGTTGGTGGTATAGAACACTTGACAGCTGCAGACAAACCCTCATGTAGATTAATCGTCAGTGAAATCACCATCATCCCAAATCTTCATGCTTAAATTGAGTAATTTAGATATGCTAGAACAACTTAGAGTAATTATGTATATCTATATATATATATACATATATATTTCATCAATCTTAATCTGTACTTCTTGGATAAAAATATGGTAACATGATTCTAGCATAATCCACCATTCTTTACTAATCTGGTTACATTAATCCACAATCCTAGGTGAAATCTCAATGCCAGGACTGCGCGCCTGGAGTGGAAGAACGTGCACGGATTGCTGCGCAGATTTTACCACAGATTCGATGTGAAGAGGCACGGCTTGATGGGATGCCCGAGAAAAAATAGGTGAAGAAATCAGCAGTTCATGATGAAATCCTAAGTCAATCAGTTTGAGCCATGGCCAAATGATGGGTCACAGGTTTGTGGAAGTATCAAAGCAATGCCAGCATGAGCATGTCAAAATAAGAAATCAAACGGTTAGCTCACAGCAGAGTGGAACTTACTTCTTGAAAACAAGAGATGAAGCCCCCGCAAAAAAGTGGATGCTTTTCCAGGCCCGTATTATGTCAAATGTCGGTGTACTTGCCCTCAACAGCCAAAGACGCAGAAACAGCCAGGCAGAATTTATCGAACCATTTCTTTCAACCTAAAGTCCCGCACAGATCTGCTTGCCTCGAACCACATGACATTGCAACGCGACGCTGAGAGGTGTCTAGCATTGCCAAGCTCTATGATTTCACAAAGAACGTTGTGGTGAAAATTGTGACTCTGGCTTGTCAGAAACTTCATTCATGGGCTATTAAAATGTATTTATGCCTATATATGTTGACGTTATGTTTATCCGATATCCGTGGGAGTCTAGATTTCCTGCCGGTAAATGTTGGCGAAGGTCCTATACATGGGCATCCATTTTTGCAATGTTTAGATCGCAGCCTACCAGAAGCCAAATTTCTCAAGAAGATATTTGAGGTATTTGTTCGTGTTGACACCCAGAGTATTGCTTCGGTATCCTTGTCGTTTTAGTTGCAATTGGTTATGCATTCTTTAGGCCAATCTGAGTCAATTTGTATCATTGTCTCCAATTATGTTTCTTCCAGGGTTGCTTTGAAGGATGCTTGACTTGGCCAGCAGCAACGAGATATCATGTCCATTATAACCGTTGCAATCCCGTTAAGTTCCCATAGTTGCCTAATCCCTCTATCGCAGAGGCAACCCCCCTGATGTCGCTTCGCAGCCCGGCGTACACTTGTTGGAGCGTCCTGCAGGCGCAGCTGTAAATTGGTTGGCTGAAGCTTGTTTGAGAAGGTGAGTTTGTTCATTTTGAGCCACAAATGAGTTGATTTATCTGTAATATACGCATATATATATATATTACATCTAACTGCGTCATACAGCGCCTATCCAGCCAACTTGAAGCTAGTTGGTGGTTTCAACCACCCTGAAACTTGTCCTTTACTGTATTCGTTTAGGATCATTATCCTAGGGTTGGAATGAGAATGACATCTTTGAAACCGAACCAGAACATCTTGGAGGAAGTCATTTCCAACCAGGCCAGGTGTATGGGTACCCAAATCTTGGCAGTTAAAAACGGACGTTTTTCCCTGCGATTCGCGCCAGGCATGCCGACAAGTCAGTCTTCCTAGACCATCTCTTGATTTACCTTCTGAGGAGTTTTGGGCTGGAGGATATCAGAACGGATGATAATGGAGACATTCAACGCGAGGAATGGGATATGAATTGATGTCACTAGCTAGGTGTTTAAAGTGTAATTTATAAGTTGGTGGATTTCCCTTGGGTCAAGGTCTGTTCCTGCGGGTCTTTGACTATCGTAGACGCAACAGCAGGGAAGAGGCTGTTTGTGTTTGGAGGACGGGCAGAGTGACATCCCCTGTTTACCTACCCAGATACAAATGAGTTGCAGGATATCCAAAAAGCAGCCATGACTCTCCACGGAAACTGTTGCAATCCGAGCTACCTCCAGTGTTTTCCCATTTGATTTGCTTCGTGGTTCAAAGTATTTTTTTACTATTGTCTGACGTTCATATTTGTTTTACAGTGACAGCATATGTTTATTTATGTATGTACATACGAATATGTATAAACAAATACATGTGTGTAAAGACGCCTTTAAATATAATGTATCAATATGTATATTTATAAATATATATATATATATATATGCATATATCATTTGTTGAGTCAGGTGTGTACTGTATATATATATATATTTATTATATACAAGGCTTCTCCAAATTGTCAGAACTATATGGACAACCATCATATGGTATGGAGAGTAAACTAATGTTTACATCCCTGTCATCAGGAATCATTTGAATCATATGGTACGGAGAGCAAATTCATGTTGACATCCATGTCATGTCCTGGAGTGTGGGGGGTCAATGACGCCGATCAATGACATGACGCAAGCATGTTCAATCAAATGCCCGAAGCGAAAAACACATGAAAACAGCACCAGGTGAGAGCATTGATTGTTCCAAGAGGTCGCACCACGCTAATATATGTATATATATACGTATATAATTACACATTATGGATACATGGCTGTTTTTTTTTTACATCTTTACACATGTGTACACTTGTAAATGCCTAGGACCAGAAGTGAATACACACAATAATTTTGTTTTCTTGGTGGGTGTGTATTTACAGATATACATACAGTATACGTATTTCACAGTATACATATTTTGATATATAACAATGAGTTTGGATATTTTATGTCTGAACATGTCAACTCATATTTCTGTAAATGTGCATGAGTTTTCTTGGTAGTTCATGTATATATTTGTATACACACATATTTACTACATAGTGCACTATATACATATGATATGTATTATATATATATATATGCACATGTCTATTTACTGTGAAACCAGCATCTTGGCAACCAAGCGCAAAAACCATTGATGAACGACGTCAATTCGCGCAGTTCAACGGGGGCTTTACGGAAATATAGGCTCCCAGACCATGGGCCCAAAATGGGGGCCACGAATTTGGAAGCTAGGCTTCTAGTTTCTGAATTGCGATCCCTTTTTTGGGTCCGGAATCTGGCCCTTGTTTTGTGGGTCGTAAGACACAAACAGGACCTGCTCAATTTGGGCAGCAAGGAGACATATGCTGGTACATGTGCTTCCGCCACTGCAAGCTGGCAGCCGACATGTCCATGAGACTGTATACATATATATATATATATCATTGTGAAAGCGTAACTTTGTACATGCATGCAATGACATGTCACTGAGGCAAAAACAATCAGTCCGTGAACTTGTTGCATGCAACTTATTGGTGCATATTACATAATTTTACATACACGCAAAATTAGGCCAACAATTAGCATGAAAAAGAGACATGTCATATATGCCTTGTATTTGCACGGTTCACATACTAAGTATATATTTATATTTAAATATACACAGATATGTTGTCTCTATATGTATATATATATATATGTGTTTAATATAAACATATGTGTTTATTTAAGTGTGTGTGTGTATTTATTTATGTATATATGTATTTGCGTATACTACATGTTTTATGTGTAGTTATACGTTACAATTTGTATATGTTGTATGTTATATGCATCATGTTTTTTTCAAATTATATATGTATGTGTAGATGCAAGTGTGTTTGCATATGTATGTGTATATTGTTTTAAGTAGACTTTTACATCGTTATGTAGTATGTGTAGGCATGTTCGAGGGTGGTGAGGAAAACCCAGCACAATTGTCGTTTCTGCTGAAGCCCCAGGAGGAAGTGGCACAGATCATGAAAGATATCACAGCCGAGACCATGGAGGCGGCGAGTTTTGCCAAATGTCCGTATAGGGGGTATAAAGCAAATATCAAATGATTAAAGGGTGCATTAATGCGTATAATAGTTTGTTAATATCCATTCAATGATTACCCAAAAAGTAGGTTTGGGTTAATGGGTTATTTCGTATACTAATGGGTTATACTAAATGGTTTTTTTAATCTACCGATCCAATGATTAATAAAATCAGGGTTATTTACTGATGTACTAATGGGTTCTATGAGTCCTTTGCGTGTGATTATATACTGGGAATACTCTGGGGGTGGAATAATTGCGGATGCAAAAAAGCGCCCGCAGAACCTAACGTTTGCCCTAGATGACATAATATATCACTTTTTTCCCGCGAAATTTGCTTCATGGCTAGTTTCACAACAATTTGCGGCAACAACCCTTCGCAGACATCTGGGGGCCCGTGGAAAAGAAGGGTCTTATCGCGTGAGAAAACACAGGCTCCGGGCAAACGTCCGGATCTGTGCGCGAAAAGGGGAAGATTGTGGTATCAAACCAACCATTCCAGATATATAAGCTTCCGTTCTATGGTCAATGGGTACCTTTTGATAGTTGAACGTAGCTTCGGAAAACGGATGAGAACAACACATTTGCACATGATTTGCTAACAAAAATTGTGATTTTCAACTATCTTACAGTACAATAGGGTATTTACTGGGTATATACATTATATATATATATATATGTATGATGGGCATATACTGAGATCGATGGAAGAATTGTGGCTAATGGGAATAGAATACCACAAATCATTGTATGCAACACATGGAGCCCAAACCAAACATTCTATGGAAGATCGTGGGTTATAGTCAGCTCTACAAGAAAATATGGAGATATCATGTGATACCAATGTTTCTGGGTCTTTCCAAAAATAGAGTTTGCGCATGAAAGGGCGATTTCATCGGAAAAAACCGTTGTTGTTATTTAAAAGTGGTTGCATGCGTTGACCTCTGCCGACCATTTTTTGTTGAACCACATCACATATCATTTTTTTTGATTGCATCCCTGGATGATTAAACAAAACTGGGGTCTGGGAAACTCAAAAGTCTCAACCACAAACCAGCAGATACCCGCCCAGTTCTTGTTGATGAACATCTCCCTGTTTGTTGGCAGTGTCCGTAACAAACTTTGTCAATATCCCTTATGTGGCTGTCTTCTTCACTGCATCAGCTTGCGGTCCTCAAGATCCCCTTTGACCAGTAGATGTCTATACTGTCGTTAGTGTTTCAGTTGTTTATTAGTCTGTTTTTATTTTATTATCTTAATATCCTGCGTTGAGCGTCATAGGAAATACTACAGCGCCTCTTGTTGTTTTTGTTGCAATCCTTTTGTCGCCTGGTGTTGCTGGTCCGAACACCTTCACAACTCATTTTGTTGCTGAGCTGACGAAGCTAGACCATATGCAATTCAATATCGTAAATATATATATATGATATATGTTCTGGAGGGCGACACCCCGTGGGGGAGTGAATTTTCATTAAGGGCCGTTCTGGATATAAATATATATATATGGATTCATGCTCATACCGTGTTTCGATGGATATGTTCAATCCTCTTTGTTTTTGGCAGTCCTTGTATCCAATATTATTGTTAGTACCGCCCTTGAATACGTGATCAAACTACCCCTGCCCAATTTAGCTACATTTGTGATTTCTGTTTTTTTTTAATCAGCATCCAATAAAGAAATCACACATTTGTTGCTCCGTGAAATTCAATGCCAGCTGTTCTGGTCGACAACAGTTTGTTTGTGCAACGTGCAGTCTTTGTTGATCACCATTTTAATATTGTGGTTGGCTAGACCATCCATTTTTGGTGGTGAGACATCCCGTGTGTTTCTTCACATCCCATGTTCGTTGCTGAATCCATTCTGTTCATGAATATCATGCAATCACCCGGCTTCTGATGGTTGTCTAGTCGAACATCCTGTGTTCACTCTCCAATTTTTTTAGTCCACCAGAGATAGGAAATCGATTGCGCAAAATTCTATAATTGATCTTCATTTTGCAGCTAATTTTTTTTCTTGCTTACTTTCCGTTATTGCTGCTTGAAATGGACTGCCAACTAAATCCCATCCCTCTAACATGCTAAACGCTCCCCAGAAACCATTGGTGTAGTACAGGATTTATGTACACATATTTGGGACCATGGAATTGCGTTTGTTTTTCTTTTGGGGGGGGGATTGAGTAGTATCCCATAACATTCCATATTTTTCTTATTACTCCCATATTAATATGCATTAGTTCCATATTCTTTCAAATTAATAGCCCATACTATCCCATAATTCTTCCATATCTATGTACCATTACCTACCATTAATGGTTGAAACCGCAAAATGAACCACCCAAGATCTATGGTTCACTGGCTGCAGGCGTGGCCTCCGGATCAGGACGACGTGGACGGCCGCCTGAAGCGACTCTTCGAAGGCTGTGCGGAGCAGCTGCTGCCAGCGGGCGGCGAAACCGCCCACAAGCCGCGAGAGGCGGGGGAAGAAGCCTAATGGTTTTTGGTTATTTTGTAATCTGTTATGGTTACTATTTTCCTATGGTATTTTTACTATTTATTTGTTTTAGTATTTTTTTTGATTTTAGTCTATTTGATGGTAGTTGTTTTTAGTTACTATATTTTGCAATGGTATCCAGTTTGTTTGATGTTACTTTCTTGCTTCATTTGCTGATATTATTTCTACTTTTAGCGGCAATTTTGTGTCACATGGAGATATATATATATATGTACAACCATTGGTACTACGATTATTGTCATCATTCCGGCTATCAATGTATCTACGGTTTGTTTTTGTTACTTTATTACATTTCATTACTACCATTGTCAGCGTTTGTGTTGCCATTCATAGTAACACTACTATTTTTGTCATTATTATCATTTATTATTATTGTTATTATTTTGTATCATTATGATGATTCATGTTATTTTTTAATTGACTGACACTGTGATATATTAAAGTGTTTTTTTAACATTATTAATGCATTTGTGTTTTTCGTCGTCATCGGTCATTTTCCCATGTATTTATGGTTAATAGGTTGTTGTTTTTGTTTTTTTTGTTATTTGTTTGTCTGCTATGTAATGTTAGATTGTACATATTTATATATGTATTTATTTATTTAGGTACAGGTGCATTTTTTGAATGTCACACACTTGTGTTATATTCAAAATTTTGCAGTATACATATGTGTACACACATAGATGCATGTTCAAACATAACAAATCATGCACAGACACGGGTACATACAGACACACACACACTCGCGCACGCACACACATACACAAACATGTAGGAAACCAGAACATGACTATGATTGTGCAAAAAATGATCTCATTGAGTTATTTTTTATATTTATATATATATATACGTATGTATGGGTAACACTACGTTTGATGCTGCAGAATTATGGATGCCCCATCGATGCTTCGTGACAAATTCATTGATGTTGTTTGATTGATTCTTAAGCTTATCACGAGTCACTTTCACCATGTTTCACCAAATTTCAACATCTATAATCTATAGTTCATAATTTGTGTGAATGAACAGGTTGATGGGAATACTGTCTTTGTTTCTAAACCAGCTCACCTGAACAAAAATTAATCATAAAGCAATATATAGTTGTTCCTACCACACTACAGCGAGGCATAAATTGGGGCACGTGTAATGTATGTTTTTGCTGGAGGCTTAGAATTAACAGAATGGATAAAACGTAAGATGTACACAGTGTTTACCTGCAACAAGTGTGTGTGTGTGTCTAACGATACAGGGCGGGTATGGGTGAACATGTCCATCTCTAAATTTGATGCCTCGTTGTTCTAGTTCTTGAAATTGGACAGATTTAACCCAGTCTCAACCCCCAGCAATGATGTTTCCATCACCTTGACCAGCCCGGAAAATGTACAGATCTTTCACTCCATTAAAATACCTGTTGGTAGCGCCTACTGAAGGCTCAGGGGGATAGCCTGTATCTCCAAATTTGGATCGTTTGTACCTCCAGTTTGTTTCGATCCGCATTGAAAGTGAACGGCAGATGAGCGCCAAACCCGTCCCCAAGTCCCAGTAAGTGTTCCCAGCCCCTCCCCACCCTACTTAAATAGTGTAGCTTCAGATCCATGTGCAAGCCCCAGTGAATGTTGAGTCAATAGAAGATGTGCACATAGTGGAGGTACAGGTGATTCAAAATCAGAAGCCGAAGGCACCCTGTTTTTTTCGAGTTCTCGACACATGGTTTACAGTAAAACATGATTTGCGAGGGCTAAACTCACGATACCCCTCGCTGCATGTCAGTTTTTGTTTATCATAATATCAGATATTTGTCATTTGCGTTGTTTCTGTAAAAATAACCACGTGTCACCGTGTCACTCGCATCTCCATCATTCATCAGCAAGCCAATGCATGTTCATCATGTTCGATGTCGATCCTTAATTTGGGCATTGAACAATTTCATCAGCAAAGGCTTAGCCAGGTGCCCCAGGTGCCCTGCCGATAGCCGATGACCGCTGCGCGGAGGTTCGCGCCCAAGGTGTGCCAAAGCCCACGCGGGCTTCGGAGGTGGCCGTGGAGGTGGATGAGAAGTTGGGCGAGGACCGGGAGATGGGGGTGGCATAGAATGGGGAACCCCCCCAAAATCATCCAATTCATGGCAATTTATGGCAAATGTTCATGGGAAACCAATGGTTTTGATGCAAACAACCATAATATGGCATGATATGGTGGTTTCCTAAGTGGGGGTACCCCAAGTTATCACCCAAAATTGGCTATAATCAATGGGAAAACACTTAAGCAAATGGTTTGGGGTACTCAGATTTCAGGAAACCTCCGGCAGGGTTTATTGGATCGTCATCTCCTAAGAAGTGATACTGGCGGGACATGTGAAAGGATCTGGGGTGGAAAAGGAATGAGTGCAATTAATAGTGGTATTTCATGGAATAGCAGTAGAAATAGTAGGCAAACAAATATGTGGGCTAACATCCGGTGAATAAGTGGTAGAAGTTGGTTGAACCAACTTTCCTGTATTCTTGCAACCGGTTTCGAATCCCTGGCACTTCAAAGCGACCATTTTGGGGTTTGTAAGTGGATTGAGGTAGTATTTCTTTTGTAGCTGATCATATCTCATGTGCTGAGGTATGTATCCCACCTCCAGCCCTGTCGCCAAAAACCTGATCAACATGGCAAGATGTTGCAAACACCAATGATGGGATATTCTGCATGATTGAAACATTGGTGTACCATTTTACAATATTCACACCATGTTTCAAAAAATGTTGAAACATATTGTAAACCAAAATATCCTGATGTTGAAAATGTGGTTGAGTACAGCACCAGTTTTTGGTTTACCACAAAGTTTCAGGTTCATGTGATGTGTGACCGTGACAGTCTGAGACTCACGAGGAAGTCATTTTGCAGAATGGTCTTCGGATATTCTTCAAGGCAGGAGAAGTGGCTGGGTGCCATACATGGATCAGCAATTCTTAGGAACCACGACTTTTTTAAGTGATTTTCTGACAATTCAATGGTAACCCTACATTGTTTTGGGATACCCTGGGGGAAAACAATGACAATTCATTATCCATGCAGTGTTTGGATACCCTCTGGTAAACTAACATTACTATGGAAAATCACCATTTTCAATAGTTATGTTTGTTTGCCAGAGGGTATGTTTGAAGATTTTTGGCCACGCGTGTTTGTTTACCCACAGCCACGCTGTCAAACGCCAGGCCGTTGAATAGTTCCGCACCGAATCCTGTAGCATTGTGAAACTCTGCGTTTCAATCCCAATTGAAATCGCTTGTGATTTGCGTTTTCTGATATATATATATATATATGTTAGATATTGTTAAATGATGTTAAATGCATTTCTTGTTTACTGTTTCCCCAATGAAACTTTTGACTTGCATGTTTCGAGGGATGTTGAAACCACAACAGCCGGCCTCACAGACCCAAAAAGAAATAGCCAGTGTTCAGTGGACATACGGCAAGATTGGCACACTACCGGGTGTTTCAAAGTTGACTGTTGACCACATCCGCAGGTTGTCAACAAGGATAGCACTGCAGAACTCTTGAGTTGCATCCAGCTGCGTCCACAATAATTGGATCTTTATCCAAATTGCTATCCGGTTAGTAAGTTTTGTTTGGGTAAACATCGGTTTGGTAGTTAGGTGGCTGGTGTACGGTGTACTTTGGTCTCAATGAAGCGTATCTTCGTTATATATAAATGGAAGAGCTACCACCCGGCTAAGAGTCATTGTTCTTGAGGCAGTCTAAGGTTCGCCATATATGGTTATATACAACCAAATTGACTTGTAAATGGAGTATCTCCACTTGAAGTCATCCCAAAGTGATCGCCCAGAACCACTCAAGAATTGGTTGATTGAAAAGTTCTTTGCTGGTGTATATTTCCTTCGTTTAGATTGATTTCTGCGGACTGCATTATTTCACCTATCAGGATCCAACGCTCAAAGATATGAATTTCCTGCCCCTTCGAATTTGGTCCGAAGAGCCAAGAACTGATTTGGGTATGGATCAAAACCCTGGCACCATGATCTTCAGCCGCCTGAAATGGGTCTCATGGGTCACCCATCCCCCCCGTGTTGAAGCCAGCGAAGTGTCCATGTTGGAGGAGACAGACCTGTACAACGATGAGATTTTGGTGAAGGGTCGTCGTTGGGGCGGTCTGTCGGAGTTCCAGGACCCCAGAGTTGGTGGTCTGGGTAATGTTTAGCCACCTCTATTGGAGAAAACGATGTGGAACCAGCAACTGGGGTTTGGCAGGGCATCTGCTGTACATCTAAGGTATATCGGTATATCTAAGGTTTGAGCTGCGGTGAACATCCGACATCCCCCTTGTAAAGGATGCAGATAAAAGAAGCAGACCCATGTGCATGGTTGGAACCTAGGTGTTTTCTGGCTCCCCAAATTGCAACTAGAATAATTGGCCCAGAGGAGTTCAATATGAATATAAATAATAATTTAAATGATGAAGTCCAAGTGGCAATCCCTCAGGGACATGGAGCAACCTCAACATGACCACGCCATGCATGTCCTTTTGACGTTCGTGAAGCCAACTTAAATGGAATTATTTCATCATCAAATTATTCAGATACCAGATATCCAAATGATATTGCCACGTTGCAGTTGGATTAAACCCCGATTTTGGTAGTCAACCCATGTTTGGTCTGACAGATGCGCGGCTTCTGCCAAGGAGACTGGGATGTTCAGAGGAGGCGATCTTCAACTGCTTGGCTCGCAGCAACCACCCCGAAGTACAATGTTTTTTTTTTTTAAGGGTCTTTTAGGTAAAGTTTCGTTGCTTGAGTCGCTTAGGTCGGTTAAGTATGGTTATGCATTGTTATGCATTGTTATGCATGGTTATGCGCTAAGTGGTAATTAATTAATCTTGTTTTGGTGATCATATTGGAGAAATTTACTGACCTGCTAAGGTCAGCCGTGGTTCTATGAAAGCATAAATGTTGTCCTACAGATGATCTTAGGTTTTAGATTATCTATCTTGCCACAAAAGGAACAAACCAAATTTGCCAAACAGACATATGTTGGGCGTCCGGGTTTCCAAGGTTTGGTAGCTTATTCCCCCATTTTGGGTCTGAAATTTCAGCATCTATGACAAGCCATTCTCTTGTTTAAGGTGGTCCTGGCAACTGGTCGCATCATATTTCCCCCATTGCTTCGCTCGACAGGGATAAGCTGCGAAGCTCAAGTGAACCAAATGTGTGTTGCTTGGCCGGCAAAAACGATGACCTGGGTGATTGCTTGGTGCCGCGGAGTTCAATGGCTTAATGAGCAGCCATTTTGATGGAGGAAATCATGCACCGTTTGCAACATGTTTGTTGTCGGGTGTTTGGGGTTAACATTGATGTGCATGGGTCAAGAAACCCAGATGTCTTGAAATCAAGCCTAATGAAAACGGACCGGGCAATCATCCTCTCACAGATGTATGGTATTGTCTGGGTAGATTCTAGCGATTTCACCAAAATCTCTCCATGATTTCTAGTAAGGGAATTATCTAACGGGAACTATGACAGAAACAAACACACTTCTTTCATGTTCTCGACATATGTCTTCCGCACAGCTGGTGGTTGATGATTCTGAGGCAATGATGCTGGGCATTTGTGGCTTACCCGCGGAGTCCTTGCAGGACATGTGCCAGAAAAAGTCTTGTGTCGCACACACAAAACAACAATACATGTGTTTATGTGTCATAGGATTTCTAGCTAGATAATAACTGGATACAGTATATACATGGGTATGTCCCAAATATGTCCACATATGTGTATGTATAATATGTATATTATACAATATTATACACACATGAATCTGCATCTATATTTAATAGTTGCGTACTAGAGAAGATATGTATGTATGTATGTATGTAATGTAATGTAATGTAATGTAATGTAATGTAATGTAATGTAATGTAATGTAATGTAATGTAATGTATGTATGCATGCATGCATGCATGTATGTATGTCTGTATGTATGTATGTAATGTAATGTATGTATGTAATGTATGTATGTATGTATGTATGTATGTATGTATGTATGTATGTATGTATGTATGTATGGTTATGTATGTATGTATGTATGGTTATGTATGTATGTATGGTTATGTTATGTATGTATGGTAATGTTATGTATGTATGTATGGTTATGTTATGTATGGTTATGTTATGTATGGTAATGTTATGTATGGTAATGTTATGTATGGTAATGTAATGTAATGTTATGTATGGTAATGTAATGTAATGTTATGTAATGTAATGTAATGTAATGTAATGTAATGTAATGTATGTATGATTATGTATGTATGTAATGTATGTATGTATGTAATGTATGTATGTATGTAATGTATGTATGTATGTAATGTATGTATGTATGTAATGTATGTATGTATGTATGTAATGTATGTATGTAATGTAATGTATGTATGTAATGTAATGTAATGTAATGTAATGTAATGTAATATAATGTAATGTAATGTAATGTAATGTAATGTAATTAATGTATGTATGTATGTATGTATGTATGTATGTAATGTAATGTAATGTAATGTGTAATGTAATGTATGTATGTATGTATGTATGTTTGTATGTTTGTATGTATGTATGTATGTATGTATGTATGTATGTATGTATGTAATATATGTAATGTATGAATGTATGTAATGTATGTATGTATGTATGTATGTAATGTATGTATGTATGTAATGTATGTATGTATGTAATGTATGTATGTATGTAATGTATGTATGTATGTAATGTATGTAGGTATGTAATGTATGTATGTATGTAATGTATGTAGGTATGTAATGTATGTAGGTATGTAATGTATGTAGGTATGTAATGTATGTAGGTATGTAATGTATGTAGGTATGTAATGTATGTATGTATGTAATGTATGTATGTATGTAATGTATGTATGTATGTAATGTATGTATGTATGTAATGTATGTATGTATGTAATGTATGGATGTATGTAATGTATGTATGTATGTAATGTATGTATGTATGTAATGTATGTATGTATGTAATGTATGTATGTATGTAATGTATGTATGTATGTAATGTATGTAGGTATGTAATGTATGTAGGTATGTAATGTATGTAGGTATGTAATGTATGTAGGTATGTAATGTATGTAGGTATGTAATGTATGTAGGTATGTAATGTATGTAGGTATGTAATGTATGTAGGTATGTAATGTATGTATGTATGTAATGTATTGTATGTATGTATGGTATGTATGTATCCGTAATGCTATGTAGTATGTATGTATGTTATGTATGGATGTATGTATGGGTAGGTATGTATGATGGTCGTTATGGTATGTATGTCTATGATGGTATGGTAGTATGTATTGAGGTATGGTATGTATGTAGGATGGTAGGGTATGTATGTATGATGGTATTGGTAATGTATGATGATTGTTCATGGTATGTATGTATGATGGCTATGTATGTATGTATGTATGTATGGTATGTATGTATGATGGTATGGTATGTATGTATGATGGTATGATGGTATGGTATGTATGTATGATGGTATGGTATGTATGTATGATGGTATGGTATGTATGTATGATGGTATGGTATGTATGTATGATGGTATGGTATGTATGTATGATGGTATGGTATGTATGTATGATGGTATGGTATGTGTATGTATGAATGATGGTATGTATGTATGATGGTATGGTATGTATGTATGAATGATGGTATGTGTATGTATGAATGATGGTATGTGTATGTATGAATGATGGTATGTGTATGTATGAATGATGGTATGTGTATGTATGAATGATGGTATGTGTATGTATGTATGATGGTATGTGATGTATGTATGATGGTATGTGATGTATGTATGATGGTATGTGATGTATGTATGATGGTATGTGATGTATGTATGATGGTATGTGATGTATGTATGATGTAATGTGATGTATGTATGATGTAATGTGATGTATGTATGATGTAATGTGATGTATGTATGATGTAATGTGATGTATGTATGATGTAATGTGATGTATGTGATGTAATGTGATGTAATGTGATGTAATGTGATGTAATGTGATGTAATGTGATGTAATGTGATGTAATGTGATGTAATGTGATGTAATGTGATGTAATGTAATGTGATGTAATGTGATGTAATGTGATGTAATGTGATGTAATGTGATGTAATGTGATGTAATGTGATGTAATGTGATGTAATGTGATGTAATGTGATGTAATGTGATGTAATGTGATGGTATGTGATGGTATGTGATGGTATGTGATGGTATGTGATGTAATGTAATGGTATGTGATGGTATGTGATGGTATGTGATGGTATGTAATGGTATGTAATGGTATGTAATGGTATGTAATGGTATGTAATGGTATGTAATGGTATGTAATGGTATGTAATGGTATGTAATGGTATGTAATGGTATGTAATGGTATGTAATGGTATGTAATGGTATGTAATGGTATGTAATGGTATGTAATGGTATGTAATGGGTATGTAATGGTATGTAATGGTATGTAATGGTATGTAATGGTATGTAATGGTATGTAATGGTATGTAATGGTATGTAATGGTATGTAATGGTATGTAATGGTATGTAATGGTATGTAATGGTATGTAATGGTATGTAATGGTATGTAATGGTATGTAATGGTATGTAATGGTATGTAATGGTATGTAATGGTAATGGTAATGTAATGGTAATGTACTGGTATGTAATGGTATGTAATGGTGTTGTGTAATGGTATGTAATGGTATGTAATGGTATGTAATGGTATGTAATGGTATGTAATGGTATGTAATGGTATGTAATGGTATGTAATGGTATGTAATGGTATGTAATGGTATGTAATGGTATGTAATGGTATGTAATGGTATGTAATGTAGTGTAATGTAATGTAGTTTAATGTAATGTAATGTGATGTAATGTAATACAATGTAATGTAATGTAAATGTAATGTAATGTAATGTATGTATTAATTTATTAATGTAATGTAGTGTAATGTAATGTAGTGTAATGTAATGTAGTTTAATGTAATGTAATGTGATGTAATGTAATACAATGTAATGTAATGTAATGTAATGTATGTATGTTATGTACGTAAGTAAATGTCAAACTCCCTGCAAGTACCAAAAAGGATCCAAAAGGATCTAAAAGAGGGTTTGAGGCATTTGGACTCTGGGACAGTCACCACACTTGGATCTGTCGTGCCTCACAATGAGCCACGCGACACTGCTGATCACCGCCATGCAGCAAGCAGCCGCCCAACCCGTCTGTGTCTCTGAGAGGAGAACACCTTGGAAACGTGAAGTTTCAAAGTGATTGCAAACATGATATAGATAGACATATATAGAAGGACGTAGTACTAGTAACCGGTACTGTAGCGATAACTTTGAGACAAGCCATGACTTCAAATTCTGCAGATATTGAGGTCAGGACCCAAGCAATATGCATTGATTGATTGGAGCAGTTGGTTTGTGCCCATTGCCATACTCCTTCAGCCACACAGAAAGTCATATGGAGGTTTCCTGAATAGGGTACCCCTAAATCATCCATTTTAATAGGATCTTCCACTATAAACTATCCATTTTGGGGTATCTCCATTTGTGGAAACCCCCATATCTTTAAGTGTTTAAGAAGACTTCCTTTCGCACCATCTGCACCATCTTCTTAGTGCCAGGCACGCGGCTGTATGCATCGTATGCCTTCGGACGTTCAGAAGCGAATGCCGATATATGACTCGTCCACATCAAAATGGCTCTCCAAATGTGGCCATGTGTTGTTATCAAATGAATTCAAATGATAAATGATCTCCGACTGGAGAAGATCCTCAGATCCTCCAATCTCCAGCATTGTGGACTGAAGTTTGCTGTCCTACATCATCTACATCCAAAACCCAGCCTGCCAGTTTGCTTGCAGCTCTCTGTACAGTTGAATGTGCCTGGAAGCTTCTCATCAGATTCATTGTCTTTCTTCCAGGACAGAATGGGTCTGGGGGCCATGCTTTAAACTGGCAGTTTCCTCCACTGACACTGCAGAAACCTGCAAGCTTGGCTTGGTAGCTGCCGCAATGCTCCAGGAAGCAAACAAAACTAAACTCATCACTCATCACATACAACGTTTGCCTCCTTCAGTCCCCTGAATAGCCTGAATGCAAATTGCTCCAGCCTCTGGCAAGAAGTTATCCTGCATGCCAGTGGTATCTTCGACTTCTTCAGTCCTCAGCCCAAGACAATGCTTGTGTCATCGATGTCATCGGCATTTCAGATCTTGCGATTCATTCCAAATGCAGATATGGGGTCTGAAAGATGGAGGGCAAGCAGAATGGAGACCCACTTTCAAAGATGCTGTACTCTCATGCCCCTTGTGGGCTGAGAGGGGTAGATCTGCAAAATGTGGCTGTGAGGTTCCTAGCTGCTAGAAAAAAAAAGAGCCACCAATGAGGATCAAAAAACTGTGAAAATGAATGGGAACTCTTGCCTTTTTGGGGGTTTGCATTTCACTTCTACAGCTACAGCGTGGATGCTGGAGATCGCTAGTTTCATTGGGGCTCTGGCGTAAGGTCACCCATCGCAGCTGTGAGCTTCCTACCACATGAAATGGCAAGACTTCGCCAAAATCGTCTGCTTTCGAGGGGAAACGTCTGATTTCGAGGGCGCTAAAACATTCAAGAAGCATCTGACATTCGGCTGGGTTCTGATTGCAGCATTCAGCACCACCAGACAAGAATTATAAAGCAACAACAAACTACTTGGGTCTACTTGGGCTTAAAAGGTCATAGCAACTCTCGGCATAATTAGGTCATATAAGGTCATAATGCTTGAAAATCTCTCCGCACTCAACATACTCAATTTCTGTCCTGAGCCCTTGTCACAACATTTTGGGTGTCTTACGTAAACTGTTGGTAGAACATTCGCTTCCAAAATTTTCTCCAGGGGAGAGTCAGGAAGAGTCCAGTGTCCTGAGTTGCTGCTGCAGCACAGGGATGCGCAAGATTTGACCGAGACTCAAAGCCTCATAGTCCTGGCATGAATTAGGTCTGGTCATCGAAAGGCTATCCATAAAACCTGGTTTTTTAATCAAAAGCTCCATCAGGTGTTCGCCTTGGCTTTGGCTGCAGCACTGTCAATTTGCTGCAAATTTGGTACAGGAAGACGTACCTGCCACATTCTTTGTGACATGTCTCCGCAAAAGCAAACAGAGTCATGTTCCAGGCTCCGGGCGGGATGATTTTCATGAATAGAAAGTAACAGAATGATAGAATAAAATAGAATAAATTGGAAAGTGTGTTCCGGACTAAATTCTATAGAAAATGCTAAAAGATGCTATAGAAAATGCTAAAAGAACTGCTAGTGCACGTCTGCTCAGAAGAAGTCTAGGGAGTCAGCGTGGCTAAGCTCCAAACGAACTGCGTCAGCAGCCGCACCTCAGATCAAGTTGACTTATCAGACCTATCATTCGATTTTGGTCGACTCCAGTCTGTCGATGGTCCACTCGCTTCCCCACACCTTTTGATTTCTGTTGTTTGCCCACAAAAGTGCTTGTTTTTATCTATTCCTGATGAGAATGCACACTGTGCATGCCAATATACGCCGGACTATGCAAAGGGAGCATGATGCATCGCAGAGATCGAATCAGGTGCATCAGGCTGCGGCTCCAAAGGAATGTGCTGCGATTGAGGCATGCATGGCAAGCCAGAGGCCTTGGCAAAAGCAACTTGCTGATCTCATGCTGTGATACTTGTTGAATCTCATTGATACATATTGATACATGGGATGTCATATGATGTCATGTGGCATGTGCCTGGAATCTGGGGACCCGGCTCAGTACAAAGTACAACACACCAGATCCACTTGTGGCTGCGAGAATCCTTGGTAAAGTTGGTGGACAAGCGCCGGTAGATGGAACGCAGCCGCAACTGAGCATGGCGCCAATGCAGCCAAAGTGGAGTTAAGCCAGGCTGCGGCATGCCCTCCGTGAAAAGTAAGACACAGAACCTCAGAGCTGAGCAACTGTCTCCATGAAAAAAACAAATGGACACAACATGTTTGCAATGCTTCCCTTCAAGCGGCGAACATAGAAAACAAAGGTGGGAGCTGTCACTCCTTGAGCTTAGTTCTGCGCAAAAGCTGCAGAACGTTGATGACCATGTACACCTTGACTGAGACATACTGACACCGTATCGAGGAAACAGATCGCAACCAAACTCGCCAGAGAAAAGCTTTGCACAAGGGAAAGCTGCAGAATCACCAGAAAAGCATACAAAGTTCTAGCCTCTTTCATACTGAAACATACTGAAACAGTCTTGTCTCAAGCGAGGCACGTCCATTTTGGACACTGTGAGGTCGGTTAAGTCCCGAATGTCCTCTCAGCTCATCGGCTTGTCATGGAGTTGTGAAATGTACGGCTGATCAACTTCGGCAATGCTACGTGGCAACTGCCTTTAAGATCCAGGGTTAGTCCCAAGCAGCGTTCTAAAAGCAGCAGATTTATTTACCATCCGATTTCCACACATCTCAGCCGCCATAGACTAGCACGAATGTCAGCTCTGTGTCTGTGTGTGTGCCATGCTGCATCTGCTTTTGGATGCTTTTGGAAAGTCTCCTCTCGGTACAATTCGTGCTTCCGGATTTTCATCTCCTGGCTGAAGTAGGCCTTTTCTCTAAACTGCTCCTGCGCTGCCGGACGGCACAGAGCTAATATGATCAACTTCAACAATCTGATTTAATTAGAAATGCTGCTCAAACTGAAGTACTGTCCTGCAACCTGTTGCTGTCTGAAATGTTTCAGGTTTTGTCAATGCGCAAATGAAAGGATTCCCTACCTTGTCAAACATGAAGTTCTTCCGATTGTAGCTGAGGACGCCAGCTGTCACACGGATTTGCACCAGCTTGGACTCAAATAACATTCAACAACTATAGCAGCGTCAAATCTGCCAACGCGATTCAACATGATTCAACGATATTCAACGGATACCCGCTGTATCCGACACTGTATCCTGCTGTCTTTGCAAAGCCACGTGCCACGGATTGCCGCATGCGATTGCCACGGTTGCACCTCCAGCAGCGCCTGCCGCCAGCAACTCCATCGTGCCTTCAGCTCGGGAGATGGACGACTGGAAGTCGTTCAACCCACTCTCTCTGGGAGATTTCGGGAGATTTCGAGATTCGAGACTCTGTGAGGCGTTGTCAATCTTTGCATAAGGTACCTTCACGATGTCTCGGTCATGCCGTCATGCCTTCTAACTTTCTGGCAGGCAAGTAGAATCAACATAGAATCAACTGATACATTGAAGTGAGCTGGCGCGTGTCAAAGCCGCCTCAGCTCTGGAAAATTAGTGGGATTGGATGTCGGCAGCAAGTCCGCCGAAAGAGCTGTGGCAAATGCACAGCGCAGTCGAAATATGTTAACAAAATACAACATAATACAACTAGTTTTAATTAGTTTTGTACCAGTACTTGCAGACTCATGCATAACCTTGCGCTGAAAAACAAATTTCTGAAGTGTAGATTCTCCATGTCTAGAAGCATCTAGAAGCTGCATTGAGCCCAAGCATGATGCAGCAATTTATGAAACCGCAATGTAGTAGTGAGAGTCATTCGATGCCAGATCAATGGTGATTCCTGCTGAAGACTCTTTTTGCGTCAACGTTAGAAGCTGCCACGGCCTATTCTATTGCCGCATGGCCATCAGTTTGTACAGTTTGTGCTTCAACATTCTTCAACCATGGCTTCCCGACATGCTCTGCGCATGGGCTAAGGCTTCGGCAGCTGCCTCATTGGGTGGCATACCGGAACTGCGGTATTGCTCGAAAAGTGCCTTCACACGAGCTTGCAGCGTTGCCTTGTCCTCTGTCGCTGAAGGTGCTGGAGCGGCAGGTGGTGTCGGTGTCGCTGCCTTGCAGTCCATGGACAGTTTGATGGCCATTGCAAGCTCGTCCTCCATTTCCACCTCCATCTTGTCATCTTCAGGCTTTGGCCCTTGCATTGAAAGCTCCATAGCTGCCTGCAGCATCTCTTCCTGGCTCATTGAGCTTCCCCTTGTCAGATTACGTTGGAGTTCTGGCTTTTCAGGAGGTGCTCTGTCTAGAATGGCATGATCAGGTGGAGGTACCGGATGTGAAGAAATGGGCAAGTCCATGTGAAGGCCTTCACCCCGGAGGGCAAAGTTTGCTGCGTCTCCTGGAAGACCAACTGCTTGAATTGCAGTCCCACAGCGTATCGCACCACGAGCATAGGCAACGCCAATCAGAACCTGTCGGCTCTGTGGAGGCAAAGCGATAACTGCGTCGAAGCTCTCGCGAGAAGACACGCAACCAATGCTGTCAGAGGCGTCCACCTGCAATGCTGTCTGGACATCTGATTTATTCTCTGCCACGAAGGACATGCCTGCCTCCTCTTGAAGGAGCCAGCACGAGACACCCGGCGCTGCTTGCTGAATTGGCCTCTTTTTTCCTCTCCTCCGTGTGCCCTCGATCACTGCCATTGCAGTATCTGACCAATCCAAGGAGACACGCTCCGTTTCAACTGCCTGAACTGAATGTACAGCAACAACGGCTCGTCGCGGTGTAAACTCTTGAGACATGCCGTATGAAACTGGGACAATGCGATAAACATAGCCACCTTCCAAGATCATCTCTGAACTTACATCATCTGTGCGACCACGTTTTACTATCTCAGTCAGATCGTACTGGACCTTGCCATCAGAGACACCAATTTTGCGCAGAACTGCGAAGCCGACGTCGATGTTCGTGGCCTTTGCATGCAACGCAGCCTCCCTGGCAATGTGTTTTTCCTGCCAAATGCAAATGTCCACCGCTGTGCGTCTGAACACGGTCACATCAACTCCTTGACCAGGTCCAACTCCAGAAGGCAACCAAACCTGGCTACGACTTTCGCACCAACCTTCATGCACTCGGCAAATTTCAACAGCTCCAAAGTACTCCTTAACATCCTGGAAGTCCATCCAAAAAACGGACATTGGATCTTCCATTTCAACATTTGAGCTGTTCACAACTCCAAGGCGATATTTCAGCTCTGGTGTCCACTTGTCAGAATCTTTGCCCCAAGGACCTTTCCATGTTCGCGGAGCTCGCTCTCCCCATGGATTCCGAATCTTCATCATCCGCAGCAGCCGACCGTCCACCTCAATCTCTCGAACATCCATAATCCCATATGCATGAGGTGCCTGGGCAAAGGCCAAGGGACAGAGAGAAAGCAAAATGTCCTTCCCAGATTTTTCAAGTTGTTCGACAACTTGTTCTCTCACAGATCACAACTGTCAGCAATAATGGAACTTTGGCTGCAAAGGTTTCCTTCTTCCGAAGCAGCTTTGTTACTTTGATTTCCAGCTAATACAAAAGAAACATAAAAATCATCATATGAAATCATAGAAATTGTTGCGAGATGAAAAAGCTTCCTGTTGCAGACCCGAGAAACTGTCAACTACTACTGTCTGCCAAGGGAATTGTATAACAACAAAATGAAATGTACAGTACAAAGGCAAATGTCTTGATGTGCTCACGAACTTGTATTGTTTCCATCAAACTTCTTAGCAGTAGCAAATTGGATCATCTTGTGTGTGTGCGTGTGTGGTGGAAGCAAGCAGTGCACCCAAACGCTGACTTTCAAAAAAGGAGTTACTAAGTATATAAGTACTGCTGCATTTTTTCAACATTCCAATTTCTCCCCTGCCTGAAGTCCCATCTCTTCGACTATGTGATGCTTGGTCTTCTCACAACCTTCCTCAGTGCAGCCCATACCCATCAAGTACCCACATTCACGGGCTGAGAGAATCTGGGACCACTTGAGGTCATCATTCTCCATATCATCATCACTGTCATCCATATCGGGAACTTCCAGACCCTGCAGCAGCATCATGGTCCGCTCATCCGCAATCTGCTTGCGCCTCTCCTCTCGGCGCCTTCGAAGCTCCTTGGGGATGTACAGCGGAAGTCGTTGGGTCGGAAAACCGGTGAAGAGCGCCAGAGCTTCACCAAAGGTGCCCCCCTTGAGCCCAGCCCAGTTGCCAAACAGCTTTGCTGCAGCCTTCTCCACCAGGGGCACCCACAGTTGTCGTCGAGAACCTTGGAGGTAGCAAAGTGTTCCACCACGGGAATAGTAGATTGTCTGTCCATCAATGTAACCTTCAAATATCTGAGAAGTGGGAAGAAGATCATCTATGAGGATCCGTCTCCAGCTGCCAGCATGATGCAGCTGCAGCAGGTAAGCACCACTTGGATTGAATTCTTTGGTCTCGAAGAGCTTCTCTACCATCTTTGGGCAGGTTGCAAGAACACTTAGAGCACCTGCGAACCAGCAGTTGCCCAAACCTCCCTGGCAGACATCCTCTGTGCGCGCCTCTCCTCGAATCAGTTTCCAAGGTGCCCCAACGGTTGTGTTGGACATGGAGTCGCGCAGAAAATGTGGGCACAGACGAGGGAGCAGCTCCTTGCCAGCAGGAAGATGACTGTACATCAGCTCGCACCCTTGGCAGTGTTCCCCTGGTCGTAACCACTGAGTCGGCTTCGAAAACCAATGTACTTTGATGGCATAATGCGCAGGTTCTCGGCAGCCAACACACTTTGCTTTGGCCGCAAAGTCCGCTTCCTGCTGTTGAGCTTCCTCCTGTGACCTTGGCAACGGTGGAGTCGGGGGCAGTGGAGAATGCCGCTTGCAGCTCAAGCATTGCCATGTTTCGGCATCTTCAGCGCTCAGATAAAGCGACTTTGAAGTCGGTGGAAATTGAGGATCCACATATTTGTCTCCAGTTTCTTTGCAGAACTGGTTGATTTTTTCCACTGCATCGAGCTCAATTTGGACATCCTCTGCACGAAACCGCTCAAAGGAAACTTCAGTTCTCTCATCGGGCTCGTCTCTTTCCAGACGCTCGGCTAAGGCCCGATCATCTTCTTCATTGGGCCGTGGCCGCTTAGTGGGACCAGGATCTCCATCATCCATGGAGAGCCGCAAGGCCTCTGCAAGCTCTGCATCCTCTGCATCAACCTCTGCAATCGGCTCACCATCAGCTGACATCGTCAAACAATCCAAGAGTTCCTTAGCTTGAAGGAAGTCGTCTCCTGGATTCCCTGATGGTAGTACCAAAGCCTCGCCCATATCGGTAAAGCCGAGGGCCATTAGAATCTGAATTCCAATAGGTGACAATTTCCCTTCCAATTTGCTCTTGGTCAATGTCCTGTACTTGCCTTCACCTGGATTTGCAATCAAATTTGTTAGGATGCGCTGTAAAACACTGAAGTTCTTCAGCGACTCCTCAGGAGAGAGGCTACTGCTGGCCTCTTCGATTAGGGTCGACATGGCTTTCGAATTCAAAGATTCAAAGATTACAGGAAACCCGTTTGAAAGCTTAAGTTTCTTGACTTGCTGTGAGAGTCTCGAGGCACGTTGCTGAATCCAACAGAGGCTGATATCAACTGCTTCAGACTGCATGACATGAGTTCGGAGGAAGTAGCGGTCCCTTTCTGTTCCTTGGGCTATAGACTAATCAGTGAGATCCAGTGAGTTTTTGCAGAGATGAGATTGTTCGAAGCTTGCTGTGTGATCGAGGAACTCATTCCGTAGCAAGCCATACTTTCACTTGGAAGGGGCATGGCAGCATAACCTCAAAGCAATGGAAATTGCTTGTGCGAATGAAGGTCACTCGGCAGGAGGTCGCAAATCTCTCTCTCTCTCGTTCCAACCCAAAGCATCCCAAAGCGGTGTTTTGCTCTGCGATTTTCGCAAGTGCAACGAAAGAAGCATACACATGCACAAGCCCGTTTGGAGCTTGGCCTTTCCCTTTAGACTTTTGTACCAATTTCGCACAGAAGTCTGCCGGATGCATGCTACGCAGCCCTTCCTTTTCTCTGGATTCTGGATGTACATATTTAATCACATTTAATCTTATTTAATCATATTATATCATATTTACATGAAAAATGAGCCCAAGTATAAATGCAAATAGCCATAGCGGGCGGGCATGTCTTGAGAACACACAAGCTGGAGGCAAGGGACATGATCTGTCTGGAAAAGCCTGCCAGCCTTAGATTCTCAAACAATGTCCTCGCAGGACCTTGGGCGTCCAAAACATGTGCACTGCTAGTGATGGTTATGTCTCCATAAGATCCTGTTTCCGCTGTTTCTCAAAGCATATTTGCATGCTGTTGCTGCGCAAATTCATGCGAGTGCTTGTGTCGCCCTTCGCATCTTCTCTGCTTGACAAATTGCTTTGCATGGGAATGAGCTCGTGGTTTCCAGCTGTTTGTAGTAGGAATCTCTGTTTGCAGTGTGACATGTCACCTACGCACATCTCACATTTAAAAATGCGGTGTGGGCCTTGAGAATAGATGTAGATGATCCTATTGTCGTAATGATGCAATCTAATTGGACTGAGCGTGTTTAAGGGTTAGTGTATGCCATCTGGCACATGAACTGTCCGTTCGAATGTCCTGTGCAACTTCACATACTTCACAGATCCCAGTGCGACGACAGTCGGCCTCAACCTTTGTACATTGTAGCCTTGGATAAACTGTCCAAGGACCACACGCTCTCACCCTCAGTCGTCTAGCTGCAGCAAACAGGCCACACCACGCTTTGTCCAGTACTTCTCTGTGTGCATCTTGGTGATCCTTGGATTCATGAAGATTCCCCAGCACAGGCACAACGAATTTGTAGACAACTGAAAGTCAGACAGGAAGATAGCCACAACAAGAGGTTTGGATAACCTTTTCCGATCAGGACAAAATGCCTCGGCAAGGAGATGCACAAGTTTGCAGTGTGAACCTTCGAACCAACATTGAAATAACCAATGAGGCCTTCAGAAACCTGTGCGATCGACTTGAGACTAGTCTGTGCAAATGATGGATGTTTAAAGACTACCCTAAGATTTGAAGCTGTTCTGCCATCTTTTTGAAATGGCTAGGTCAAATCCGCAAACCGCCACAATGGAAACAAAATCATGTTCAACTGCAAGCATCGGCAACATCAAGGTCATCACAAAGTTTGTACTGTGACCCGTTGTGGTCAGCGTTCCCTTGCGCCCAGACCTCAATGCTCTGGCTCGCAGCTTGAAGGTCACAAGCAAATGTGACAACTGGGAAACGACCGGTATTCGAAGTATTCGAAGCAAGCAGCGTTTTGTACAAAGGTGATGGATATATCGCCCTTCTGTCTGTTGGGTCCTGAAGCAGAAAGCATGGTAAGCTGAGCTCCATCTGACCTGCCACCGTTTTGGACTACCTCATCTTATCCAGGTCATTTCGGGTGTTTGAATCTAAAAAGTGACCAAATTTGTTGCTGTCGCTCAATGATGTCGTTGCCAACCAAAAGCAGTTGGTCCTTGGCCGCCTCGCATGGCGTCAGATGGAGTGTAGGGACTGCACCTTGGTACGAAAAGGCAATCTCTCGAGAATCTCGTGCTGTCAAAGTGACCACAAAAAGTGCAAAGCACATTGGAAAATTGGTATGTGTATGTATTAATGTGTATATATATATATAAGTTTCCTGCCAGCACTTTTCCACGCTGCTGATTGATCTCTGTTGCTGCGGTGTCTATTCACCAAAAGCAGCATAAAATTCATCCTGTTGAAAGGAGACTGCCGTGAAAAGGGGATGGGACTCCAAAATGGGTGGGAGTCTTTGAGCGGCACCATGGATGTTTTGTTGAAAACTTACACGCAAGTTTCCTGCCAGCACTTTTCCACGCTGCTGATTGATCTCTGTTGCTGCGGTGTCTATTCACCAAAAGCAGCATAAAATTCATCCGTCTTTTGCCACTCTTTCCCGTCTTCCTTTCAACAGGGCATACCAGGCTGAGCAAGGGATGCCACATTCAACAAAGTGTTGTGCCTTCTGCAGTAGGTCTGGGAAGCCTGCAGCTGCAACTCGGATCATCTCCTTTGTTTGCTGGGGTAGGCGCTCCACATAGGTAACATAGAGCACCTCTTGAAGATAAATCTCCATGGTTTTGATTGTAGCCCAGCGGCCTCTGCGCCTCACAACCTCTGAATCTTCTGTCAAATTCAGGAGGTGAGAGGCTCCACCGGGTCGCAGTGAAGCGAGATCGAAAGGCTTAAGTCGGCCCATTGACCCTTCAGGAAGCTTCAGCACCCTCATCAAATCACCAAAACGCTTTCGTAAGGTAGAGCCAGAGAGAGGCCACAACTTCGCTTTTGGGTCTGCTTTCGCAAAAGCCAAATCCAGCAACTCAACGATGTCAGTGGGATCGACCCTGGCTGCTTGATGCCTTGCATGCTTTCCTCTTGTCTTTGGTTCTTTTATCTTTAGGAGTGCATAACGAACACCAGGGGCCGAATCCCGTGGCAGAACCAAATCCTCTCGGGAAGCTTGCAGCACCTCACCAACCCTGAGTATTCCAGCCCACATCAAGCCAAAAATTGCGGCTTCCGTCAGCCACCCCCAAAGAATGGAGACTGCCATCATCGCCAGCAAAATGGAGGCTGGTAAGGCCGGATGATGAGAAAACGGTTCCTCAGATACCCAGGAATAAGCAAAATCCCAGGCAGCAACCAGTTGTTTTCTCACCTGAGGTCGCTCTGCAGCCACACTGTTTATGGTCTCTGCATAGATACCGTAGGCCTTACCAGCTTGATACAGAGCACCGCCATACTGCACCAACCAGTAAGCCAAACGTTCAGGATCTGCAGGCTTTTCTCTCAAAAGGTAAAGAAGTGAAATCCCCTTTTCTTGCCAGAGCCAAACCTGAAACTGTCTGAAGAGCTTCCGTCGCCTGCCTCTTGTTGCCTCAAGTGCTACACGGTCTCCTTTCGGCAGGATCCCAGCTCGCTCAGCTGCCCTACGCCGCTCGGCCACTGAGGCTGGTTCCATGGCAAAAACGCCCCAATGAAAGTCCAAACCTACATACCTAGGTGCAGGGCTGAGAAATAGACTACAGAAGCAAACAAGCCACAGAGAACGCACACGCCGAGCAAGCCGAGACAAAAAGAGCATGCCAAGGACACCAAGGGTCAGCATCAAACAGAAAACCCAGCACACAAACAGGAGGTCTCTGGCAAGTCCACAAAGAGACAAAACCCAGCCGTGGGCAAGATCACGAAGGACAAACACGAACCCACCAGGAGAGAGAAGGAAATGCACAAGAGGATCAAATGCGCAAGAAAAGCCATCGTAGACCCCACTCCAAAAGCCCCCAGGCAGTCCATAGGAGGAAGCATAAAGCCCACAACCGAACGGGTTCGGCGTTCCACCACTTGAGCAGGCATCACTTCGGCTAAAGGTGAGGACCAAGACCAGCAAACGGACCCAATTTGCACCAACTCTCTTAAGGCCAACGCCATGCAACACTTGCAGATCCACTCCATCAACCTCACAAAAGCTACAGACCGCAGGTTCACGTAAGGGCTCTTCTCTGGTAGGGTCATCTGCCACATTCAACCTGGTGGGACTGTAGAGCCAAACTGGGTACAAGTCATAACAGACCTGGATGACGCAGGCACGCTTCAGAAGTGGCTGTAAAAGCCTGGAAGTAGAACGACCTTTGGCTAGAGCACCTCTTGCCACGGAGGAGTCAACAAAAGCCAAGAACCTCGCATGTGCTCCTCTCTTGCCAGCTTCAAGCAAAACCCGGACAGCAGAGGAAACCTCCAGAACATTGATGTGGGGAGCACGCTTCCAAAACCAAGAGGCAACTTCGCGCCAAGAGGAGGAGAGCATGACATCATTCGACACAACCGATTCCAACCCAGCTAGACTCCACTCAGGCTCCTCTCTATTTGCCTCTCGACGTAAGGCATTCTTGAAAGCTATGGCCAGATGAAGACCCAGCTCAGGCGTGTAGATTGCCGAATTCTTTGCGTACTTGCCCTGAATGCGAACATGAGTGTGGTCTCCAGAGCAACGCTTTTCAAGGCCAGCAATCTCCAGGAGATGAACCAAAAATCGAAACTCTTTTTGATGAGGGGACCCAAACATGCAAGCAGCAACCACAGCCTCTTCAAAATCACCTGACTCGACAAGAGAAATCCATTCAGACAACCAGGCCATCTTCGACCGTCTTGGCTGCTCCAAACCGCAAGGACGGCGGTACCTCCTCCCAACTCGCAAGAGCACCAAGGAACGGAAAGCGAGGCAGTTCCCATGGATGACCCTTGGATTCTCGCGACAAAATCCATAAGGCTCCTTGTACGACCGGAGACAAGGATACGCAGCAGGTGAGAAAGTTGTGCAAGGTGGCTCAAGCAAAAAGGACTTGAAACGACCCTCAGCTATCATGTGGATCACCCATTCCAAAAGCCTCTCATTCGTCAGGTCATAGTGCCGGGAAGCCGACAAATCCAGCGGCGGAGCTACAACAAGTCCAAGTCCAGTCGCAGCTCCAGACACGGCACCAACGCCCCCACAGATCTCAACGAAATCAAAGTAGAGCAGAGGAGATGCTTTTGGCTTCACAAGAGGCAGAGAAGGAGGGTCACACTCAAAATCCTCCCCTAGGTGCCTGAGAATCTCTCTGGCTCCATTGTCAAGCAGAGAGTAGTGCCCACGCTTATCAGAGGCTAGCCAAAGATCCTCGCAGAGTCCACCACGTATCTCAGCCTCAACTACTGCTCCTTTCGCCAGTGACGCATCTGACGCAAAACAAGTCCCACTGTAGGAGACAGCTGCATTGGAACTCATCAGAGGGGCCAGCACAGACAGCACAACAAGCTCTTGGCTAAGGCTCCTGGGAAGAGGCAACACAGAGCCAGAATCTCCCTCATTAGCGGTGACCCCCAAGGCAAAAAGTCCATCAACAATCGAGCACAGACATCGCCGATACATCAAGACAGAAGTCCAATTTCCAACAAGGCGAGACACCAGACGAGGGGACAAACCCGGCAGGGCGGCAGCTCTAAGGGAAAGGGCTGACAGGGCTAACCTTTTTGCAACTGGGGCGGCAACAGAGACAAAACCAGACCTTACTGCATGCATATCTGAAATCACCTCTGCACCTGCTGCTTTGAAGTTTGTTGAGGCCTCTACATCTTTTTCAACCGACCCCAAAAGACCCTGACTGTCATAGACCTCCCGGGCACACGCCAACGCTCGGGCAGCAGCACTGTGAAGAGGTGGCATTCGCAGGGGCTCACGACCAATGAAGAAATAATCATCAATGATCAGACCTGAGTAATGCGGCCCGGCTGGGAAAACATGCTTGCCTCTTATCTGCTCATCTTCGACAAGGAGTCCATTGGATTGCAGCAGGTTCTGATGGGCGCAAAGGGCAAACTCAACACCCAAGTGGTCACCCTGAAAAAGGGATGAGAAGGCCGGAAACAAAACCAGACCTTCTTTGCCAGCAGCTTTCTGACTCTTCTCAACACCAAGCAAGTCACCACGAACCTCTCGCCTGACATCCTTTCCCTTTCGGAGACGTTCCTGAAACCTCTCAAGAGCTGCAAAACCACTCAATTCTTCCAAAGGAAAGCAAAAAGGAAGCATGTTGGTTCGGGCCCTCTCCAAACTGACTTTCGCCTGGTGATAAAAGTCACGTCGGTCGGTGACTGAAGCTCGCAAGCACTGTCGGAACCTTTCAACCCGCAACTGCACTAGGAGAGGCCCTGATGGGAGGAACTGTGAAGGGCCATCAAAAGCAAGCTCTGACATGTTTACCCGACGACGATCACCAATCTGCCTGTCAACTGTCGGCCCCTTGAAGCAATTGAAAACCCTGCTGAACAAGCCATCATCAGAAGGCCCATCAAAAAGCTCAAGCAGACCTCTTGAATCCCAAACCTTCATCAGCTTAAAGCATTCATGCCGTGACTCATGAGCAAAATTTGGCGCACAAGTTTCATCCACATCAAGTCCATGCTGCAAAACCGCAGGTTCAACAAAAGGAAGCCAAAGGGAACCCTCCAGGAAATCACTCATGGGCCAACGACCTTCACCGACAAGACGAAGACGGTCAGCATCCAAAGCTCTATAAGGAGTAAGCTCAGGGTACTCCTCATTTGGAAAAAGAGCTTGATCCCCAGAAAATCCAATTGGCTTATCGAGGTATGAGTTTTGCAGCTCAGGACAGCCGACAAAGAAACGCTCCAACTGATACAAACATGCACCTAATTCAGGTCCGGATCTCCCAGGGGCCAAACTAAAGAGCTCATTGGAAGATCCACACACTGCAAGCGAAGCCCTCAAATTCGAGATAATCTTCTCTTGGGAACACGAAGGCTTTCGACCAAGCTCGTCTAAGGTAGGGAAGCGACCAAGATACAAATAGTTCAAAGTAAAAATGGTCACATGCAGCAGCCGCGCTCTGCAAAGCTTCACAAGCCTCCTCCTTGACAACCTGGCATAACCCTTTCCAATGCACGATGGAAGCTGAGGCAATGGCAAAGGGAAAGCAGTGGTAGACAGTGTCATCGACTGTCGCGTGGAAAAACAAAAGGAGCGTCGAAGATGCCAAGCAAATTTTGTCTTCGACCTTGCAATCCACCTCGGCAAACAAATGGCCCAGGTGTTGAAACTGATAGAACTCCGCAAAGGGTTTGACTCCTGCCCCTCAACGGATGGAACTGCGCTCTTGCTCTCAGCAGCTGACTTTTGCCTCTGCCTCATTCCTCCTCTGCTTCTGCCTGTTGCTGATGCCCTCCTCCTCGACCTTGACCTCTCCCCTTCCTCTTGGGAAAAGGCTTTGCCTTGGGCGCTCCCTCCTGCTGGTTTGAAGCTCTTGGGCCCTGATTGGTGAGTTCTTGCCTCTTGGAATTGATCAGGTCCAATTCTTTCACATAAGCGAGAGCCACTGTCACCCAGCGTTGATCCGCTAAGGGAGTGAAAGATCTGGATCGGCTCAGGACTCCCTGGTGGCGGTTCACATAAATCGAAGAGGGGGGATCCTCCTGCAACGTCAAGAGAGCCGCCAGATCGAATCTGCCTCCGTCCAACACCGCCTGATCTATGCAGACTGCCAACAAACCCAGAGTGTCCTTGGCAGCTTCCAGATTTCCCACCAGCAGGTAGTCCATGGCTCCCATCACCTGGAAAAGAATCAATCCCAGATCCCGGTGCCTTCCGTAGCCTCCGAAACGTTCCATGTAAAGCGTTCCACTGATGCCCCTCCGATGAAGCTCTTCCAATGAAACCGTAGCAGACTGAGTCGGCTGCATCCTTCGTGCCATTGCCCTCATCACTGCTGCATAGAACTGGCCCGAATGGGAGGCCAGCTCTGTCTGGAGGCGAGCTCGCCCCAAAGCCCCCCTGGTACCTGTGCTCGCCGAAGAAGCCCCCAAATCCACCAAGGGGTCCTGACTTGAATGGGCTATCTGCCCCACAAGCGCTGTCAAAGCTTGGGACTGGGCATACACTGCCTTCGCCAAGTCCCCATCCGGAGGGCCTGGCAAATTCTTCTCCGCCTCCAAAGCAAGCAAGTCCGGTGGCTGAAAGTTTTGCACATTCGATGAACCAAGGCCCCCAAGATTCTTTGTCCTTGGAGGGGGGGCAGACACAACATCCGCCACCGATGAAGCCCCTGCCACATGTGGAGTTATAGTGCTGGAAAGCGGCTGGGCAAGTCCAAGTGCCCCTGCACGCGAAGGAGCCACTATCCTGTTCTCCAGCTGAACTTGACGCTGCGAAAGGTCTTGAAGCTGATCCGAAAGACGAGGAACAACTGAAGCAACTGATCCAGAGACATGGCAAGGTCTGCTGTGGTCAACTTCTTTGGACGACCTGAGGGACCTCCGCCTCCAGTAGGAGTGGCGCCTGCCTTTGGCAACCGCCTCGACCGCTTTGGAGCAGCAGCCCTGGGAGATCTGATCGCTTCGTCGATCTCCGTCTCTGACTGACCTTCGGCTGAGTAAAAGTTCAGGCCTGTTTCCTCTCCAGCTCCTCTGATCCAGTCTCTGGCTCCCTGCAACAACTCCACGGGTGAAGGAAGAGTGAAAGGAGATTCTGGGTCGAAAGCCATAGCGATGTCCTCGGCCAAATTTGTAGCCCTCATTTGCGAGACCAGATCTGCCGCTACGTCCACCACTAAAACTTCGAGCAATGAACCCGTGGGAGATCTGATTCCATTGTCCACTATGACCCCAGGAACCACCAGAGATGTGGAAGCGCCTATAGCCCCAGCATCTTGACCTGCATTCGCTCTTTCCAGAATGGACGCTGGAATGAAAAGAGGAGGAACAGCCAAAAGAAGTCCGCCCTGACGCTTCATGACAACCAAAACCACAGCCTCCAGTGCTCCATCTGTATCTGGGACAGCGGGCCATTCCAAAACGTAAGGCCCTAAATCCAGATCGACAGTCACCAAAGAGCTGAGAGACAGGACATCGTCGGCCGTCAAATCCAAGGCCATTTCTGCAAGTCCTAGGGCAAGACCCTAAGGTCGGCTTCAAGGAACCCGGCAGCCTGGAGGTAAACTCGTGATTCAGCTTCACTGGGGAAGGACTGGGAGATTGATGTGCTGTTGTCCAAGGAACCGATGGCACGCCAGTAAGACGAGGAAGACTTGAACACCACAGGACAATCAACACCGTCAGCACGAACCACCGCGTAAAACCTCGACCGCAAGTCGATCGGAGGGGTCCGGTTCGGGCTGTGCACCCGGGAGTCCAAGACGGCTTTTGCCCACAAACCAGCAGTCCAAGCACGGCAGACACGGTCACGGCCAGACAAGGAGGAGCCAATAAGTCGCACACCGACAGCCAAATGACGGTCAGGGCAACGGGCAAAAGTTGAAGCGATCTGATCCCTGGTCTCAAGTCCAAGTCCAACCCGGGAACCAGAGGCAGGAACGCTGGGAGCCTCAGACACAACCTCGAAGGAACCAACAGAAGGAGTAGGAGAGCGCACACGATCAGACGGAAATCCAGCAAGGTATTGGAGGAAATCAGCCACCCGAGAAGGGGCACCAACCACAGTAACCCGAAGGCCAGGCAAGTCCACGGAAGCCTCAGTTTCGCCGTCGTGGCTGTTGCTCATGCAGGTATTCCAACAAAGCAGAGCGGGCCCTCCCAGACGGAGGAGATGACAGACGAGAAGCAGATGGCACAGGGGTGGACGAGGCGGAGGTAAAGACAGGGACAAAGTCAAACCTGTAAAGCAACCAAGCGCAAAGTCCAACACCCAACACCAAACCAAGTAAGAACGAAGCAGCAAGAGAACCCACACTAGGAGACGTGCAATAGAACGGACAGCCCAAACCAAACAGGTTAGTTCTCAGCCCTTGCACCACCAAACCTAGAGTGGACCCTGCTTCGAGCATAGAGTCTTTGAGCGGCACCATGGATGTTTTGTTGAAAACTTACAAGCATATGCATATACAAACAATTTGGATCAGCTCACTGCTTGGCTTCTGATCAGAACAGCCTTCAACATGGCTTTGGGATACTTTCGGTAGGTGCATTTGTGTCGGTCCTCCAAGCCTTCCTGTAACTGGTCTTCCCCAACAAAAGGTTCTATTGTCGGCAATATCAGGATTGTCAGTTATGTTCAGGATTAGAGTATGCCAAATTTCTAGCAAAATGGTAGCCCAAGAGCAAGCTATTTGCAGAACATAGTAGAACTAAGTGTTCTGTCCAACACGGCCGCAATGCAGCTGTGGCGCTGAATAAGACTTTTGGGAGGCTTTCAGCAATGACACCCTCCGCATCATCCCAACCTCAAAAGCACTTCATTGTTTTATTGATTTCAAAGGTGAGAAGACATGTCATGTTTCTGTGTGCATTGGTTAAGATATCCATGCAAACAAGCTGCGTGCTCCGTCCATGAAGACACCATAAGCAAGGCAGCCGGTTGCAGGTCTGGCAAGCTCAGCAGAAGCCTTGAGCACCTTGAAAACCCAAATGAGCCTTGGCTGCATGAGTTTGGCATGAGCCTATAAGACCTTGCCCTGCCGATCCGATGAGACCGAATGACGCTGAAATTAAACTAAGACTAAGCCCAGATACGTATCAATGGGCAGTTTAAGCTTGCGAGCATAGTTCTGCAATTGACCGGTGAGGAATGATTGAGTGAAGTAAAATCCTGCAGGACGGGCAAATGTCACAACATTTCACTTAGTGAAGGTGAACAGGTGAGTGACAGAATCCATATTTAGGCACTTGTTGAGAAAGTTTGAAATTGTCCGCCAACTTGAAGCCAGCAACAATCACATTGTTTATGTATTCAGCGCAGCCAAGCGGGTCCCCATCACACAGCCATGTACTATGTGTTTTTTTCCGGCTTTCCTGTAATTTAGGCTTCCGACATTTTTACATAGACTGGCATTCACTTTCTGCAAACCGGTTTGTCTGCCAAGCTAACTTCAATTCTGTGTGGTGTCGAGTTGGGTCTGTGCTTATTATGCTCTTGTAACTTTCGTACATCATCGTTGCTGTCTTTCCAAAACAACGCGCCTGAGAGCCAGTAGGACTCAGGGGTGCCTTCATGGAGCCAGGTTTGGAAGAAGCTGACTCCTGAGTTCAAGTGTTTGCTTCCAACCAGATCGCATCATGTCTGTTCAGCTGAGTGTCAAGCCTTAGCCCTCCTGAACTCTAACCCTCCACATCACCCAGGGATTCCACTCGCAGGAATTCCATAAGTGGACTGTTCCTGTTGAGCCTGTTCTGCTAGATCTATCTTGCAGTGGGCACTGTCCAAAGATGCTCACTTTCTGCTTTCAAGGGTCGAGCACACAGGTCTGCGACGTAAGATACCAGCGGCTTCAATGACGGATAGGACACTTCCTTCCAGACCTCTGCAGAATAAGCTTTTCGCATCTTTTTGCACCACATGGGCACAGTTTGGAGTGCAGCAGGAACAAAATGAACAGTTTGGCAATTCGCCAGCAGCAGGAACCTACTTCACATGCAGTTTGGCGTTTTGGTTCTCGAAGGTTCCTGGCAAGCCACCGATGGTGTCCTGTCCGTGAGGATGCCATCTGCTACCTCTTCAAGTTCCGGGCTCATCACCACAAGTCCTTGCAAAGGGTTTCATCAACGCCACAGAACGCGGGCGAAGAATTTCCAACCAACAAGTTTTGGGCCAGGGAACATCACTGAGAATGTACATGCAGATTTCTTGTCCAGCAGAGATGCCCAGGGACCATTGTAAAAGCTATGTTTTCTTTGACATGTGCACCTAGTTGCATGTTTGTAGTCTGTCTTTCTTTCAGCAAAGACCTTCTTTTCCCCCAGTGGAAACTTGTTGCCTTCCACTTCTGTGGTCATTCTGTTTCAGCTAAGGAGCCTTTCACCGCTTTGCGCACATCTGTAAGAGTGCTTCTAACCTTGACAATGAGCTTGTTGAAGCGAAGTAGTTCCTTGTCGCCAGTGCAAAAAAATTGCCGATTTGATCTTCTGGACTGAGGAAATCAATGTCACTTGTGTAATAGCCACCGAGGAAAAGATAATTGTTGCAACAAGAGATAGTCATCCAAAGCCAACCTGGCACTGGCAGCCGAGACGCTTGATTCAGCACTGTGTTCATCGATTCGTTGTAGTCCACAGGATACATAACATTGGCAGCCTCGCAAACAGCAAAAACTCTCAGGGCCAGGGCCAAGACAGTGCCACAAATGAGTTGTTCTTTATTGTTTGAACCGTTTGAAAACATTAGATGGGTTGTCTGCGGATCTGGCTACACTACACTAGATTCTTCTGAAAGCAAGCCTCTGTGTCGAATGGAGGCTTCACATCTTCCAAGTACTTGGAGGCCGCCTCTTCATAGAGAACACCAACGGGACATAGCATTTTTGTTCTTGGATTCTTAGGCCTATGTCTTCTATGCACAAATCTGCAAAGAAGCCATGTCATGTGTGGGAGGAGGTCAAATTGTAGAGATGGACAGAATTTTTGACCGCGTTTGCAACACAGGGACACTAGTCACATATTTGCGCTGCAGTATGAGTACCTTCTCGTGAGAGCAGCGTAATGAATGATTTGACCAACACCTTTGAAGTTTCCAAGGCTGAAGGCAACCCCTACTTGGCTCGAAGGTGCTTTATCTGACCGTCTCGATATCATATTCAGTCTTGGTTCATCTTTGCTCTAGCATTTTGACAATGGCGTGGCTTCGCATGCCTCTGTAATGATATCCTCTTGTGAGGCTCCACCGCCGCCTGCAGGGCAAAGCTTCACTCAAACAGCAGGTTAAAAAAAAACAGTTTCAGCATGGATAGACTAACAGCAAAGAGACAGAGACAAAGAGACTCACAATTGTATAAAATTATCACATTATTATTATGATGTATTATGTATGTATATACATATGTCTACAACCTGAAGCTACGTGGAAGTGCAGTGCTTTCAGGACCTGCCTCCTCCCGTCTTTGGTTGGAGCGAGGCAGCGGTACCCAGCAATCGCATGGTCTGTCGTCGGTACCCGGAAATTGCATGGCCAACTGCTGATATTGTGCCACAAAAACATCTGAGCGAAAAAATGGGCCTCGCTAATCGCTGCCACCAAATTTGCGTTGGCATGAAGCCCAAAAGCCTTTCACTCAACTCCACCAAAAGGTGAAGAAGCATCAGAATTCAACTAGACGTTCAATATATCTGATGAATGATCAATAGGCTCTAAGGGGGAAAGGTCTGATGTCCATAAAATTGTGTTCAAAATCTGATGTCCACGGGCCACGCCTCAGGCATCTGATTGATCGGCAGGTTGCGGATGTACCTCTTACTGACTCGAGGAGCAAGACCAAGAATGTGAAGATAAAGTATGTCCATCAAAATGGCTGAATGAAATCGAAGAAAAATCAAAAATCCGCCGACCCCTGCCGACAGCAGGGGGAGCGCGTCAGAGAAGAGATTACAAGCAACAAGTGTTGTGCAGTGCAAGTGAGGGGCAAGCGAGGGGGGGACAGAAAGGGAAGCCAGGTGCAGAGTAAGAAGCCCAAAAAAGGAAGCGAGAAAGGAGGGGCAGTCTCAGCGAACGTAGCGGGGCAAGCGAGGGGGGGACAGAAAGGGAAGCCAGGTGCAGAGTAAGAAGCTCAAAAAAGGAAGCGAGAAAGGAGGGGCAGTCTCAGCGAACGTAGCAAGCGAAAGAAGCACGAAACAAGAAGTTAAAGCAAGAATGCAGAAGCAAGAGTAAACGAGCGACAGAAAGTAATGTTTGGCACTCTGGGCTACGGGCCGCGGGCCCAATCCGTCCTTCACTGCCATGGTGTTTTAGCCCTGCGAGGAGGTCCCTTGACCGGAGCTGTGCCGCACGAAAGCCAGCTGTCAGACAATGCAGGCAAGTTGGCAGTTTGCAGTGCAGGAACGCAGGGAAAAGCTAGGTTTGAGCTGCAAGACGACGCAGGCAAAGTGGCAGGGAAAAGCAAGGTTTGAAGCTAGTTTCTAGGCAGTTCAGAAGGCAACGTTTGGCACCGTGGGCTGCCGGCTGCGGGCCCGATCCGTCCTTCAGTGCCATGGTGTTGGGGCCCTGCGGAGGGGTCCTTGGACTCGAGCTGACGGCAAGACACAGCAAGGTTTGAAGCTAGTTTCGACTTGACCGGAGCTGTGCCGCACGAAAGCCAGCTGTCAGACAATGCAGGCAAGTTGGCAGTTGGCAGTGCAGGAACGCAGGGAAAAGCAAAGTTTGAAGCTAGTTTCTAGGCACTGCAGAAAGCAACGTTTGGCAGTATGGGCTGCCGGCCGCGGGCCCGATCCGTCCTTCACTGCCATGGTGTTTGAGGCCTGCGACAGGGTCCTTGGACCCGAGCTGACGCCAGGAAACAGCAAGGTTTGAACCGGCAGACCTGGTCCGTCCCTCAGGGCCCTGCTGTTTGGCTGTGGCGCAGGCGCCGTTTTGGGTCAGACAGCAAGGTTTTCTTGTAGGTTCAGAAAGCAACGTTAGGCACTCACGGCCGTGGCCCGCAGGCCCGATCCGTCCTTCACTGCCATGGTGTTTGAGGCCCGCGACAGGGGCCTTGGACTCGAGCTGACGGCAGGAAACAGCAAGGTTTGAAGCTAGTTTCTAGGCAGTTCAGAAAGCAACGTTAGGCACTCACGGCCGTTTTTGAATGTTTGTGACGGCCGGAAAGGGCGCGTTTTTGAAGGTTTGACGGCTGGAAGAGAGCTAGTTTTCTTGTAGGTTCAGAAAGCAACGTTAGGCAGTGGGAGCGGTTGCCCGGAGGCTCGGTCCGTCCTTCAGGGCCCTGCTGTTTGGGCGTGGCGGAGGCGCCGTTTGTGAGCCTTGACGGCTGGCAGAGAGCTAGTTTGGGAGCCGTTGCCCGGAGGCTCGGTCCGTCCTTCAGGGCCCTGCTGTTTTGCTGTGGCGAGGGCGCCGTTTGTGAGCCTTGACGGCTGGAAGAGAGCTAGTTTTCTTGTAGGTTCAGAAAGCAACGTTAGGCAGTGGGAGCCGTTTCCCGGAGGCTCGGTCCGTCCTTCAGGGCCCTGCTGTTTGGGCGTGGCGGAGGCGCCGTTTGTGAGCCTTGACGGCTGGAAGAGAGCTAGTTTGGGAGCCGTTGCCCGGAGGCTCGGTCCGTCCTTCAGGGCCCTGCTGTTTTGCTGTGGCGAAGGCGCCGTTTGTGAGCCTTGACGGCTGGAAGAGAGCTAGTTTTCTTGTAGGTTCAGAAAGCAACGTTAGGCACTGGGAGCCGTTGCCCGGAGGCTCGGTCCGTCCTTCAGGGCCCTGCTGTTTTGCTGTGGCGAGGGCGCCGTTTGTGAGCCTTGACGGCTGGAAGAGAGCTAGTTTGGTAGCCGTTGCCCGGAGGCTCGGTCCGTCCTTCAGGGCCCTGCTGTTTTGCTGTGGCGAGGGCGCCGTTTGTGAGCCTTGACGGCTGGAAGAGAGCTAGTTTTCTTGTAGGTTCAGAAAGCAACGTTAGGCAGTGGGAGCGGTTGCCCGGAGGCTCGGTCCGTCCTTCAGGTCCCTGCTGTTTGGGCGTGGCGGAGGCGCCGTTTGTGTGCCTTGACGGCTGGAAGAGAGCTAGTTTGGGAGCCGTTGCCCGGAGGCTCGGTCCGTCCTTCAGGGCCCTGCTGTTTTGCTGTGGCGAGGGCGCCGTTTGTGAGCCTTGACGGCTGTAAGAGAGCTA